GGGACTCAGGAAGATGGGGAGTGGAATTAGGTAGACAACTAGAAGTGATCGCCCCAGGCCACCACTGGTAGTCAGAGCCACAGGGCTGGCCATGGGAACTGCCTTACTCTGGGTCTAGTGATTGCCAAGTTTGATGATCAGGGATTGATCCTTGAGGAAGTGATTTATTCTAACCAAACTCAGGTTCCTGCCGGACGGGCCACCTTTAGGGAGTGACAGCAGGAAGTAGTAGAGACGGGACCAGAGGTGAACACGTGTGTAGGTAAAGGGGTTCTGCGTGGTGTCCGGGGCATGCAGGCACCCAGTGGCCAGGTCTGCCCAGTTTTCAAGAGAAGCCAGAAAGCCAGAACGTTTTTTAGCTGTTTTTTGAAAAAACTGTAGGGTTATGGAAATACCACAGCGATCACGCAGAGTTCCCATATGTCCTTCGTCCAGCTTCCCCTAATGTGCACAATCTTACATAAACCCCAGACACGTACCCAAACTAAGAAACGAACGCTGGTTCAGTGCCACAAACCAAGTGGATTTTATTCGGATCCTACCAGTTCTTCTACTACTGTCGTCTTTCTGTTCCAGGGTCCATCTTACATCGTATTTAGTTTTTATGTCGCCATAGTCTCCCATCTGTGAGACTTTCTCAGTCAGAAAGGTAGAGTTTTACATGGCTTCTAAGTTTTCCTACTCTACGATAATAATTTGGAAATCATACATGCTATTGTATGTATGTATGTATGTATGTATGTATGTATGTATGTATGTATGTATTGTATGTCTTAGTGGTCATCTTAGAAATTTTTCCATTTATATTTGCCCGAACTGTTAAAGCTCATCAGCACTTCCAGCTGCCTCCCTCTCATCTTCCACGTTGTCATTTGTATGTTTTACCTTTTTTATTTTATTCCAGTTTAAATTGTTTTTGGAACAGGCAACACGCCTGTAGTTCAGAGTTTAAAAGGTACGAAAGGTACTGTGAAATACCCCTCTCCCTTTAGTGGTCCAGAGGCAACCAGTGTTCCCAGTTCTATGTAGCCTTCCTGGCTTACACACACATGAGCAAACATAGCTTCAGTAGATCTTTCTTGCATGAGGTTGTAGCTCTTCATTCTGCAAGTTGCTGTCGTCCCTTACTAATATATCATAGAGGTACTTCCATTTCAGTCCATAAACATCATGACTCTTACATGTGGCTGTGCAGAATTCCTGCTTCCATATCATAATTTATTTGCAAAGGCCCCTGTTAATAGACATTCAGCTTGTTGCCTACCTCTTACTAGTCAAATAATACTGTCATGAATAACCAATACTTTGTGTCATTTTGCTGCAGTAGAAACAGCTGTAGAATACAACGTAGAAGTGGCATTTCTGGGTCAAAGGGAATGTGCACCTGTAATTTAGATAAATGTAGGCAAATTACCCTCTTCAGAGGTTGTGCCCACTTACCTCTCTACCAGGGATGTGTGAGATTGGTTCCCCACATGTTTAGCAGCGTGTTAGCTTTTGTTTGTTTTAAGTTTATTTATTTGTTTTTGAGAGAGAGCGAGCGAGCATGTGTGCAAGTTGGGGAGGAGCAGAGGGAGAGAGAGAATCCCAAGCAGGCTCCACACTGTCAGCACAGAGCCCAACAGGGGGCTCAATCCCACGAACCATGAGATCATGACCTGAGCCAAATCAAGAGTTGGACACTTAACCAACTGAGCCACCCAGGTGCCCTAACATTTTGTTTTAATTTGATTGTAAAAAGTATATTTCAGTATTGTTTTAATTTGAGTTTCTTTTTTTTGTGAGTGATATTCAGCAGCCTTTCAAATGGGTACCTTTTCTGTATACATTTTCATATCCCAGGCCTATTTATCTATTAGATTGGTGTCCTTTTACTTATTCATAGGAAATATTTTAGAGAAATTAGTCCTTTGATGAGAGTTGCAAATATTTTTCCCAGTTTATTATATTTTGTTTCTTATGACTTTTTTTCTACCATGTAGAAAGTTTATATTTTCATGTAATCAAATTTTCTAATCTTTTATCCATAATCTTTTAACACGTAAAGTTTTTATGGCTTTAGTGTCATGCTTAGCTCTTCCCCACCTCAAGAGTATGTTTATAGTTCAAATATGTAAACATTTTTTCAAAGTGGGCTCTGCCCAGTGTGAGGCTTGAATCCACAACCCTGAGATCAACAGTTATATGTCTCATCGATTGCACCAGCCACGTGCCCAATAGTTCATGTATGTTTGTGTTTGTTTGTTTAAAGTTTATTTATTTTGAGAGAGACAGAGAGTGTGAGTGGGGGAAGGGCAGAGAAAGAGAGAGAATCCCAAGCAGCTCATGCTGTCAGCACAGAGCCCAACGCGGGGCTCAACCTCATGAAACCGTGAGATCATGACCTGGGTCGAATCGGACGCTTAACTGACTGAGCCACCCACATGCCCCCATATAATTTTGTTTTAACTTAAAATTTTTGTTTACTTCTTTGGACCTTGTCTTGGTGTAAGGTTGGAGGCAGAGATCCATCTTAGTTTTTCCAGACGACTATTCAGTTGTCCCAGTACCATTTCTTAGAGAATCCATTTTTTTCCTTTGACTTGAAGTACTATCTTTATAATATGCTAAAGTTCCATATGTGTTTGCATCTATTTATGGACTCTTTGTATTCTCTCTCACTGATTGTCTGTTCATGTGCCAGTGCGACGGTGTTTTAATTATTGTGGCTTTACTATAATTCTTTTTATTCCTCTCCAGTGAATTCCCTGTCATGTTTGCCAAAGTGCCTCCACCCGGCCTCTTTGCTTCCTGCAAGTCCCGTCTTTTACTCTCCACAGACCACTTTCTCTCCTACTTTATTAACTAAAAGAGTGAGGCCATTCCATATGAGCTTTAACCACCCCCTCCCCAATTGCTATGATACTTCTTTGTGTTTTGCTCACCCTGTGCCCTTGAATTATTCCCCTCGCATCAGTTATTCTGCCACAGCTACCTCCGTGAATCTTCAGACTGTCTTTCTCTGCAGACCTCTTTATCCACAGACTGAGTCTCCCCTAGTCTAAAATACTTCCTGGCTTCAGCACTTTCTCAAGGCAGTATCCTCTTGTACATTTATTTCCTTGACATATTTACCAAAAAAAGCTAGTCTCCATTCACTGTCCTACCTTCCTCACTACCACTTATTCTTCAGAGCCCAGGGTTCCGTCCTAACCACTTGACTTAAAACTTGTCTCACAAAGTCACCAACGACCTGGTAGTCACCGAATCCAGGGGTCATGTGTCAGTTTATCACCCTTAACCTCGGCAGCATTTGAGATGGTTGAGCCCTCCCCTGTGAAACAGCCCTTCCCATGACTCTGAGTTGTCCGGCTGCCCCCAGTCTCTCTTGCCTCTGACCTTCCTTGACATGTTGCTATCTCCTTTGGTGAACTGGATCCCTTCCTGTGACTGTCAAATCAACAAGGACACTCCCTGTATCTTCAGATTCCCAACCCCCCAGCTCTTAGACTCTAGGGCTGGATTTCCAAACTGCCTTTCGTTGACAAACTAAGAGGTTATTGTCAGTCTGAACAAAAAATGAAAGCCTGATGGAAAGGAATGATGAGAGGGAAGATTTACTGTCATTTGGAAGTCGCTTTGCTGTGGAACATTGATTCCCAAGCTTGGCTGTACATTAAAATCAGCAGAAAAACTAGAAATAAAGATCCCAATGCCCAGGCTGCTCCCCAGACCATCAGATGAGAAGCTCTGGGGACAGGCCCAGACATCCACATTTTAAAAACTCCCCAGTGGTTCCAGCGTGCAGCCAAGTCTGCAAGTGTAGAGCAGCGTGGGTGAGGGAAGAGTCTCAGCTCACCCTTGCCTTCTGGCTTTGAGAAGTGGGTGGATGGGCACGCGGGTCACTAAAGTGGGGATTACCAGAGGAAGGGTGGGTTTGGGGGAAGATGGTGGGTTCTGTTTGGATAGGTTGAGTTTGAGCTGCCCATGGCACATGTAGGAGAAGTCCCACAGATGCTTGAATTTCTGTAAAGCAGACCTTTCCTCTCTCTCTCCTCCCACAGCCTGCACGTGCCTAGATATAGCCCACCTTCCCAGCCCTCCCTCCACATCCTCTCTCCTGCAGCACCCACTGCCTGGCCACCAGGACTCCTTACGGTTCCCCCACTGAGCTGCCTCCGAGTCTTTTCTCGTGCTTTACCTCCAAGACAAGTTTCATGCCATCTCTGGTCAAAATCTACCCCACTCTCAAGGCCTCTGCCTACTGTCCCCTGCCAGGATGACCCTCACCAGCAACACCTCAGGATCTTACCACCGCTGACTGTGGCATTTGTGGGCAATATTTTATTTGGAGATTGGAACTGCCTCCTCCTGGGTGATAAGGATGCGGGGGTCACCACCCAGTAACCCATCTTGGAAAGTCCTGGACAGAATGCATCTCCCCTTGCCTGATGGCTATGCTGTTGAGGGTCTAGTTGCAGATCTGCTGCCAGTTGTGAGCCTAACCCAGCAGCGGCTCATGTCCTTTTCCCCCCACACCCAAACACAGGAAGGTTAGGATCCACTCCCTTCAAGAATTGTGGCTTAGGAGAGCCTGAGTGCTGGGGGGCGGGGGGGGGGGGGTGGGGGAGTAGGGACAGGATGGTGGTTAGGAGGTGCAGTGCTTATCAGGAGCTTGAAAAAAATCCCCTGAAGTCGTTCTGATCTGGCTCAAAGAGCAGAATGGGGCCGAGGAGGCTGGGAAAAGTGATGTGGTGGCTTGTCGCCCTGTCTGGTTCATGGAGACTGCTCTGAACCCCACAAACCTGTCTCAGGAACCAAATGGATACAGGGCAGAAGGAGAAGTGACTCGTGGTGCAAGGAGTGGAGACCATAGGATAGCACTGCAGGGAGGAGGCGTTCCTGCCATGCAGGAGCAGGAGCAGGGGAGCCCCCTCCATACTGGCTCCTCAGGTGTTAGCCCTCACGCATGCCCTGCTCCATCACCTTCTCATCCTCTTCCTGTCTGCCCCTTGGCCCAGGCTGATGGGAACTTCCCTGTAGAGGTCCATCTGCGTCCAGACCCAGATGATGCCAGAGCTATGACCGGGCCTGCAGGCGTGGCGCCGAGGGGAAATCAGCCATGGAGCAGCCACCAGGGGAAGCCCCTGAGGTCCGGCAAGAGGAGGAGAAAAAGGAAGTGGCAGAGGCAGAAGGAGGCCCAGAACTCAACGGAGGACCAGAGCGCTCGCTTCCTTCCAGCAGCTATACAGGTGAGGAGGGCGCAGCAGGGGACACGGGGCGGAGGCAGCACTGCAGGCAGATCAGGAAATGCCCTCTGCAAACAACGTCACGGGGTGCAGAGTAGCAGAGTGGTTCAGGACTGGAGCCAGACAGCCTCCGTTCACACCCCTGTTCTGTTGCTCATCGGCTGCAAGACCTCAGGCAGTTGCACTTCTTCTTTCTGTAAAACAGACGGGGCTTGTGGGGGATGTGGACAGGGCGTTTTGTGGGAATTAAATGAGCTGGCATTTGTCATGCGTGTCGTCAGTATTATTCCCACTGCTACTGCCCAAGGGATCCGGAGCCAATCTACATTAACAACACACTGGAAAGGTCGACTGTACCTGTGACTGTAATGATCAGTCAGAACACCCAACTCCATTGATCTGGTGCCAATTATACAAGTCATCGAGCTGCACTATAATTAGGCATCAATGCTAAGCGGTTAGTATGAATGACTGTAATTAAGATTACTTTTGTGCAGCCAGACAGTTTTTAGCTTCTCTTATCTCACTTGTTGGTTCCCCTTTTGTTTATCCACTGTTAGTAGCAGGGTAGACATTCTTCTCTGGGACCCTGTACCTTTCTGTCCCTGTCACCATCATGATGTTACGTCCACCTTCAGGGGCACTCAGAATCCACTTCTTGGCCCCTGGTTTTCCCTGCTGCTGCTGTTGCCTCTTCCCTGCTCCTAGCGCCCTCCCCACCACTTTTCTCCTTCTCCCTCCACATAAGTGCCAACACATTCAGTTGATTCTTGCTCCCTTCCCTCAGAGGGAACTCGGTGTCATGAGAGGATGTACTTCCAGGAGGGGACATCCTGATTTTGCTACTGGTTTCCGCTGAAGGAGATCCTGACCACGGGTGGTGGTGATTCAGGGTGGAGGAGTAGGCCCACCCCACAAGGATGGACTCTGGAGCCCATCCCTGCGTGGAGAAGAGGTAGATGGTGTCAGAGTTGGGGCAGGGGCTGTTGAGGTAGAACAGGTTCCTGCCTAGCCTGTAGCTAAGAAAGGCCCAAATCCTTGAGCCACACTATTTTGAACCTGCAAAACGAGTCCGTGGATTTTGCAGCGCTTCTTCCTCTTCCGGGCACGTGGCGGGGGTAAAGGAAAGGCCATTATCCCATCCCTCTGAGCCCCACCCACATACCCAGGAGTGACCAAAGTGGGCTTGGTGTGATTTCAGGCCTTAGGAGAAAGTATCCCCCAAACCCCATGGTAACCTATTCCCTGTGTGTTGGCTGGTGACTGGGATGAAGTTAGAGACCGAGCCTTTCTCAGAAAAGGACTAGCTAACCAGAGGTGATCGGTCACTTAGTGCTAGTAGCATGTACTGTTCTGAAATTGAGATGGGCAAGGAAGGTTAGGAAGCAGAAGGAACACACCAGAGGCTAAGAATGAGCAAACTACGTCACTGAGGAAGAGTGAAAAGGGACGAAAAGGCCATGGGATTTGTGGCCTCACCACCCAGCCTGGCCCACCCTATCCCCACATCTGGGGCCAGGAGAAGTAATGACCTGTCCTGGAGTTTCCTACACAGCCTTGTGGGACCATATCCTCACATGATACTGCTGTTCACGTACAGATCAGAGTACAGTGCCTGCATGCCCAGGCAGGGCGAGTGGGCAAGATGATGGCATCTCGGGAAGCTTTATCCATGGGATTAGGGCACGCAGGGAGATGTCTGGGGGAAAATTTGCCCAACCGCCCTTGCGGTGCTATGTATGATGTGGTATTTAATATATTCCATTTATCAATAAATCGATGAAGGAGAGATAGGAAGACTTCCTTGCTCAGGATTTGAAACAGGAGGGGGTTGTTTAACATAATCATAATGTGTTAAAGCCATAGTATAAAAACTGTTCCCACAAATTCTATAAGGCAAACAACCGAAAAATAGAAACAGGCAGTTCATGGTAGGACAAATACAGCTGGCCAGAAAACAAAATGTTTTTCAGTCTGCTCACTAATCAAAGAAGATATCTTCAAGATAAAATGTCATTTAGCCTGTCAGATTAGCAAAGAGAACCGTTTTGGCCAGAGGGGGAAGACATGGCCCTCCAGCCTAGAGGGTGGAGGGCAGTTTGGCTACGCAGGCCAACACTTTTTACATTCCTTTGGCCCTGCAGTTCCCCTCCTAGGAATGTATCCCATGTAAATACCCGCGCAGAACACACAGAGATTTCCACACTTATTTACTGCAGCACTGCTCATAAAGCAAAAAATTGGCAAGCTCCCATCGTAGGGAATTGGTTATATAAACTGTGGTAGAGCCATACTGTGGAATGCGGTGTAGTCATTAACAAGGATAGGGTAGGTCTGAATACACTGACGGGAAAAACAGCTCCTGACAAATTGGGGATCCCATTGCTTAAAAATCTTTTAAGTATCGGGGCACCTGGGTGGCTCAGTCGGTCAAGCGTCTAATTCTTGATTTCAACTCAGATCATGATCTCACGGCTCGTGGGTTTGACCCCTACAAGTTTAAATAAACTTAAAAAAAAAAAAATCTTTAAGTATCATGGAAGGCACTAGAAGAGTGTACACACAAAGGACTATGCCATTAACTCAAAGGAGTAGGATCTTTGGTACATGCCATTATGTATTATTCTCAAATCTACAGTACTCTCCTAATTTAAGAAGCAAATGCATTGCTTTTCTTTAACAGGTTAAAGTAATTTGGGGGCACCTGGATGGTTCAGTCGGTTGAACGTCTGACTCTTGATTTTGGCTCAGGTCATGGTCCCAGGGTTGTGGGATCAAGTCCCAGTTTGGGTTCTGAGCTGACAGTGCAGAACCTGCTTGAGATTCTCTGTCTGTCTGTCTCTCTCTCTCTCTCTTTACCCCTTCCTGCTCATGCATTCTCTCTCTGTCAAAATAAAAAAACATTAAAAACAAAAAGTTAAAGTAGTTTTGTTTCCCAAAAAAGGCCAGCAGGTGAAAGGCCCTAGAAGAAAGAGCCTCACCTTGGGGAGCCAGAGCAGGGATCTCAAGTCTGTGTGATTATGAGCTGTGGCTTTTGCTGGTGACTTCACTTCTCCAATCTCAGTCTTTACTTTTACATTTTATTTTTATTTCTTTTGAGGGAGAGATAGAGAGCAAGTGGGGGAGGGGCAGAGAGAGAGAGAGAGAGAGGGAGATAGAATTCCAAGCAGGCTCCACACTGTCAGTGCAGAGCCCAATGTGGGGCTTGAACTCATGAACTGTGAGATCATGACCTGAGCTGAAATCAAGACCTGGGCGATTAACCGACCGAGCCACCCACGCGCTCCTCAGTCTCTACCTTTAAAGTGTGCCCACCTCAAGGGTTGGCTGGGTAAGGTTCTCTGCCATGAGTCTATGACTTTGGCCTCTGGAGTCCCCTCAGGAATTCAAGAGGATGGGACACAGCCTCAAGCCCTGAAACAGAAGGAAGATCACACAGTTTGCTTCTCTTCTGACCCTTCAGAGGTTCTGCACTGATTCTGCGTCTATACCGAGCTCAACACCTGAGAAGGCAGGCAGGACGGGCCTGCGATGAAGAAACTCCTATGCCCAGTGTCCCCCCGCTGGGTCATGGCAAGGGTTGCTGTCCCCTCCTGCTTTAGTGATGGGCATCCCAGCCACACCCTAGAAAGAAGTCAGGGGTCTTCATGTGGGGATGGAGCTGAGAAAGATCAGGCGTCCTTCCTCCTGGCCTGGGCACCTCCTCTCTCAGCAAGTATGTGGTGGGTGTCCAGGCAGGGGCTGGCTGTGCAGTTGAGGACAAGGCAGCCCTGAGAAGCCCACTGTGCAAGTGAACAGGACAACAGAAGTAAGGAGGCTGCTTAGTACCCCAGTTCCAGAGTCCCACAGAATTGGCCCTGACACTTCAGAAGCTATTTACCTATGGGGCTCTGCCAGCAAAGGTAACAGTGTTGGCCCCTCCTGGCCACTCTCACGGGTATGACAACAGTATACCTGCAGTGATGGAAACTAGATATGCACGGGAACCTTCACCCATACATAAATGATGTGAATAAGGTCAGTAGTGTCTGTTTGCTGAACTTGTAATCCAAGATGGTACAACTGATAGTTCGTTCACTCTCTGGGAGTTGGGTTTAGTGTTTACTCTGAGTCCAAACATTTGAATAATGGCACGGTGTCATCCTCAGCAGTGACATGTCTCATCATTTATCATAATCATGAATTACTGATTTAATAGTAATGAACATATACATGCTTATGGGAAGTCATAGAGTACAATAAGAGCTCAGCCCAAGGGATTGGATGGTTTTAGGTTCCAGTTCTTACTCTGCTGCTGTATTAGTCGGGGTTCTCTAGAGAAACAGAACCAATAGGATGTGTGCATACATAGAGAGGGAGTGTGTGTGTGTTTAAGGAACTGGCTCACACCATTGTGAGGGCTGGCAAGTTGAAAATCTGCAGGACAGGCCACCAGACAAGAGACCCAGGGAAGTTAATGCCGTAGCTCGGGTTTGAAGGCAGTCCCGAGGCAGAATTTCTTCTTTCTTAGGGAGGCCTCAGTCTTTTTTCATAAGGCCTTCAACTAATTGGCTGAAGCCTACTTACATTATGGAAAGTCATGATTTAAATGTTAATCACATCTAAGGGCGCCTGGGTGGCTCAGTCATTTGACTCGGTTTCGGCTCAGGTCATCATCTCAGTTTCATGAGTTTGAGCCCCACTTTGGGTTCTGCGTTGGCAGCTCGGAGCCTGCTTGGGAGTCTCTCTCTCTCTCTCTCTCTCTCTCTCTCTCTCTCTCTGTGTCTCTCTGTGTCTCTCTCTGCCCCTCCCCCACTCGTTCTATAAACTTAAAAAAATTAAATTAAAACTTGAATCACATCTAAAAAATACTTTCACAGCAACATCTAGACTGGTGTTTGATCAAAAACTGGGTACCATGGGTATCATGGCCTGGCCAAGAGGACATGTCAAAATTAACGATCTGGTTAATGCCACTGTCAGCATGTTACTTAACCTTCTGAACCTCACTTTCCTCACCTATAAAAGGATAAGTAGACCTGCTTGAAGGGTTATTTAAGGTTCACATGGGATTAATGGTACAACGTATCCAGCAGAGCACCTGGTACACAGTAGGCGTGCCCAAAAAAAGAGCTGTTATTCATATAAATACACAGTCTTTACAGGGCAGTCAGGTTTAGGTTCAAGTCCTGGTCCCACCGTGTATTAGGTGACCTTGGGCAGATCCCTTAACCTCATCTTAAATGGGGTCAGTCCTGTCTTCCAAGGTGATATGAAATGATACTAACAAGCTCTTAGTGGGGGGCTGATAAATGCTGGTTCTTTCCCCCTCCCCTCCTGCGGTAGAGGTGGAGGTAGACCCTCAGAAGATGTTTGGGAGGTCAGGCAGGGTGCGGCTGGAGTAGAAGTTCAGAGGCGGGGGCTCAGGGCCCAGATGATGGCCATCAGGTGAGCAAGTACGTTTCCTGAGAACAGAGGAAGAGCCGGAGGAGGGCTGTGCTGCGCTGGCTTGGGAGAGTGGCCCGCTGTGCAGGCAGGCGGCCCTCGGAATGGCATGCCCTAATGGCTCCACCCAGCATTCCTGAGGGACACCAAGGCTGGGACTCCTGGTATGGGAGGGCCTCTCGGAACCCTATGGCTCATGGTGAGGCTGTGGGGCCTTCAGAACCTGGTCCCTAGAACGCGGAGCATTCTGCCATCGTTACTTTTAGGTAGGGTGGTGATTCAAGGATAAACCCTTAAGCCAGGTGGTCAACCACGAAGAAACCAAATTCTTTATCTTTTATCTTTAGAAAACCCACTCCCGAATCACCACCACTTCAGTAGCCCTGGTACACATGCACGCTGCCACAAAACCTCCCCCTGGAGAATGCATACGCTTTTGCCCACCCTAGCCCCTCATCTCCCCTGCCTCTTTCTGCCTCTTGGGTCAGTTTTTTTGTTCTCTTATTCCCCTCAAATGGGCAGCGGGTGCCTGTGTCTCACTAGCCTGCTACCACCAAGCCTCTCTGACTGCTTTCAAGTTCTGCAGCCTGTGCCTGTTCACCACCTGGGGGCAGGACATCCATCTCCCAGTGCCCGGACACCGCCCTGGGCCTGTTTCTCCACAGTCCCCATTTGCAGCACTTCCCTTGGGATGCACACCCAGGGTCTCTCCTCAGGACCCAGAGCTCAGGTGGTTTTGGTGGCTAGTAGGGTTTGAGCAGCTTGGCGTCTCCCAGGTGATCCTGATGCCCCTGGGCCAAGGGCAGGTGGCAGGCCAGGGGAAGTGAGACGCTTGGTCTTGGCCTGGGGCCTCTCCGGGTCTCATAGGCAGAGACGCTCCCCTCCCCCACAACCTTGGATTTCTGTGAAGCTGTGGGTGAAGGGGTACAATCAGCCAGAAAGAGGAAGGTCCCTGCCTGTGTGGGGTACACAGCTTGGAGAGGGCAGAATTGCAGCTTGCTGACGGGCATCCTCCTAACTTAACACTGATAGTTCCGTGCCTCTTCCAAGTTCTAGGCCTTTTGTCTGTGGTAGTTCCATTACTTTTCACCATGACTCTCAGATAGATATGCCTGTCATCTCTCTTTTACCGAGGAGGAAACTGAGGCCCAGAAGGCAGAACTGGGTTTTGAGCCCAAGACACCAATTTGATCTCAGACCACATGGCTCCTGAGTCACATTCTTAACTCTCAAGCCTGCTGTTCCTGAGCATCTGGAAGCTATTTGGAGGTCTTCCAAAGCTCTCATTTTTTTTAATTATTATTTTTTTAAGTTTACTTATTTATTTTGAGAGGGAGGGAGGGAGGGAGAGAGAAGGAGCAGGGGAGGGGCAGCAAGAGGGAGGAACAGAGGATCTAAAGTGGGCTCTGTGCTGACAGCAGAGAGCTCGATGCAGGGCTTGAACTCATGAACTGTAAGATCATGACCTGAGCTGAAGTCAGACTCTTCTTAACCAACTGAGCCACCCAGGCGCCCCCAAAGCTCTCACCTTTGAGCCCAGAGGGAAGCAATCTCCCTGACATTCTCATGTCTGAGTGGTGGCTCCTTCACAGTCCTGTGTCATCTGCCTGCCCCTCGGCCAGTGATGCCACTCGCCATGTTGTGTCCCAGTTTTCTTACCTCATTCTTACCTGAGCTAGTCCAGGGCAGGGTCCGATCCCACCCTGCACACAGCTGGTGCTCATCACATGTCTGTTGAATGAAAAGAGAGGGTGGCATTGCAGTACAAATGACCAGACACCTGCCCAGCCTCCAGGGCCACAAGGGAAAACAAGGCACCACCCAAGAGGTTGGTTACTGTGGACAAGACTCAGTGGTGGAGGTGGGCTTTGAGACCCAAAGACAACGTGATTAGAGATGTCCCAAGTCTAGCAGAGGAGGCAGACGTGTCAGCCACAAAAACAACACTGCTTACAAGAAGTGATACAAAGTGAGCACGCATACAGACCACACAGATCAGAGGAGGAAGTGCCGGAAACCCTTCTGCCTGGCATCTGCGCAGGTCTCGTTTTCTCCAACAATTCACCCTGTGAGTTCTCCTGCCCTATTAAAATGCCTCTAGGAGTGGTGGATATTGCCCAGCTCCTCCAGCCAGTTCGCGCTGAGCTCAGGATGCCCAGGGACCTTAAGGACCGCTTATTCCAGAGTCACTGAGTGCCGGCTCCCCATCCAGCAGCACCCTGGTGGCAGAGCTCCTATGCCGTGGCCCTTACGTTCTGGTGGAGGGCGCCCAACACTGAGTAAACACACGTAGTCTGTCGTGTGGTGACAAAAGGCCAGGAAGAAAACCAAAGTGGCTTTGCCCTCCACGGCTGGAGGCTCCCCTACAGCCCTGTGCCCAGGAGAGGAAGGGAGCCCACTCGCCCCCATCTGTGGGCTGAGGTGGGTGCTTCCACCCCGTGGAATGACAGAAGGTTAGGAGCTAAGTCTCTGGGACAGGACAAGCCATTTTAGGAACCAGGGACTTGTGTCACCCCTGCCCTTGTGTCACCAGCCCAGGATCGCAGCAGGCCGCTCGGTCCTCCCTGCTGGGGTCTGGTCTGGTGCTTGTGTGCCCCTCCCTGTGGCCAAGATGGGGTCTAGCTGAAGGCTCTTCTGCTGTCACTCCTAGGACCCGAGGGAGAGCTGAGGAAGGTGTGGGAAGAGTGGAGTGCACCTTGGTCTGGGAGGGTGGGTTACTCCGTGGGAGGGAAGTCAAGATATGTTGTGGAGTGGCCTAAATCTGTATTACGTAGAGGTAAGAACAGCAGCCTGGGAAATGTTAGATCTGGGCTCATCTCCATGGTCTGAGTCTCCCTAAGGCACCATCCTGCTCTGAGCCACTGCTTCTCCAGTCTGGGGATTTGGCCTGTGCCGCCGATGAGGTTGTTTGGTCATCAGGAAAGAGAGCAGAGAATAGAGCAGATTGGCAGGCCAGCATGGCAGGCCAGATGGCACGTGGGGCCATGCAGCTGGCCCTGGGCTGGGAGACTGGGGCTCCGGGCACGTCCCTTTTCCCCGGGAAGGGTTCGTTTCTGAGTGCCCAAGGGAGAGATTCAGAAGGGACTCTCGGAAATTCTTACTAAGTCATCTGGCAGCACATACACCCTGAAGTCATTGCCACAGCCGAGTGCTTTCCGCGCTTACACTCACAACGCCTGGTTCGAACATCTTGTACATTTAATAGAAAAAAACTTGGGGAAGTTCAGTATGCTTCCCAGTCAACATGACTGATACCTGCATTCTTTGTTCTTGAGCAAGAAGTTTTGTGAGAATGAATCTGAGCTTCTTGAGTGATCCTTTACAGCATCTCCGGAGTCCACGCAGGAATCACATTTCCCAGCAGAGGGGGGTGAAGGGCAGCTCTGCAGAGGTCTGCACTAATTCAGTGTCCACAAAACACATTTCACACAACCCCACGTGGCCCACACAGTGGAGCCTCTTAAGCTAAGAGAGCTACTTCCCAAGGATGGTCTAAAAAAATTCTGTCTGCTTCCTCCCTCTTGCTCCTTTCTTCCCAAAACCTAGTCGCTTCTCCCAACACACACTCACACGCACACACCCTCTCTCTCCTCCCCAGCGGTGAGCTCAGCCCAGGAATGCTCTGACTTACCCTGGAGAGTAGAGCTGCCATTCCCAAACGCCTGCTGTATGTCAGATCTGGGGAAATGCTTTGGAAACTTTTTGCCATCCTCCTAGAGAAGCCCCACGTTCTAGATGAAGAAAGCAATCCTCAGAGAGGTTGACTCCTTGAGGCACATAGCCCTCAAGTGTCTGAGCTGAGGGCTGTGTGATTCAGAAACATGGGCTCTTCCCACCGCCTGCTCTGCCCCCACAGGCTCTGTCCACCTCCCCTGGCCCCAGTCCTGGCAGCGTGTGAAGCCACCCCTATGTTGTGTGTCTGCAGACCTCTCCCAGAGCTCCTCACCACCCTCGCTGCTGGACCAGTTGCAGATGGGCTGTGACGGGGCCTCGTGTGGCAGCCTCAACATGGAGTGCCGTGTGTGCGGGGACAAGGCATCAGGCTTCCACTACGGTGTTCACGCATGCGAGGGGTGCAAGGTAGGGGCCATGGCGAGTGGGGGATTACATGGTGAGTTGAGCTGCCAGAGAGGCCGGGCCCTGACAGTGCCTCCAGTGGAATTCCCACCTGGGAGGCAGCCAGGCCCTTGGGCCCATTCCAGGCCTCCACTCTGGGTCCTGCTGGTCCCTCGTCAGGCCTGCCCTGCTGGGCACCACCCCAGCCACTCACATGGTCTGTCTGGCTGCTGGCACCCCTGGGGACGCAGCTGTAGAAGACCAGCAGGACAGAATGAGGGTCTTGGGCTGAACCATCTCCTGACATCAAAGCTTCCAGCATGTCAAGGCCTGAAAGGGGCTCTTTGACATTTCTTTTTCCAGTCGTGTTTTTGGGATTGTCCTCCCAACTGCACGCCCATCAAAATGTCACATATATGTTAAGTTTATTTATTTATTTTGAGAGAGAGAACGAGAGCAAGTGAGCACCAGCAGGGGAGTGGCAGAGAGAGAGAGGAAGAGAGAGAATCCCAAGCAGGCTCGGCACTGTCAGCACAGAGCCTGACTCGGGGCTCCAACTCACGAACCATGAGATCATAACCTGAGCCGAAATTAAGAGTCAGACCCTCCACTGACTGAGCCACCCAGGCGCCCCTTACATATCATTTTTATTAAACCACTGCCTGGAAAATACACAGAACCAGATACATTTATGAATAAATCAAGTTATCCAGGATACAATTTTATGTTACCAAACTAACAAAGAAGCATGTAAAATAAATAAGGGGTGTCCCGAAGTTTGCTTGGGATTCTCTCTCTCTCTCTCTCTCTCTCTCTCTCTCTCTCTCTCTCTGCCTTACTCTCTGCCCCTCCCCTGCTCTCCTTCTCTGTGTGTGTGTGTCTCTCTCCCTCTCTCAAAAATAAACATTTAAAAAAATTTTTAATAAATAATTAAGATATATAAATATATATTTCAAAAGTTTTCGAGTTACTTATTTTCCTTCTCCCTCTCCCCTCCAAAAAAATTTCCCTGCATTACTTCCAGAGCTCAGGGATTTTTACATCCTTACACGTAACTGGGGCCCCTGACGTAACCCACTGGGCAGAGCAGGATTCCCAACTTTCTCCCTTTCTCATGGCTTTTCCTCACCTCCTCACCATCCCTCAGGGCTTCTTCCGTCGGACGATCCGCATGAAGCTGGAATATGAGAAGTGTGAGCGGATCTGCAAGATCCAGAAGAAGAACCGCAACAAGTGCCAGTACTGTCGCTTCCAGAAATGTGTGGCCCTGGGCATGTCGCATAATGGTGAGAGCCGACCCGGGCAAGGCACAGGGGATGCTGGCTCCCTCCACACAGCCTGGAACCAGGCTCCCGGGAGCCCAGAAAGGGAGTGCCCTCAGAGCAGTGCCTGGCATGCAGCAGGCACTGCACACGTGTCACAGTACCAGCCGGCCTAAGACCTGCCTTCCCCAGGCTGCTCAGCGCCCACATGGGTCTCAGGTCCCGGGTCCCGGGTCCCGGGTCCCGGGCAGTCACCACCTCTCAGTACCTGAGGCTTAGCCTCTGTGGCCCAGAAGGGAACTGGGAACTGACCCCAGCTCCAGTAGTGTTGGAAACATCACTCCTAGAACTCAAGCCTGTCTCAGATGGCCTGACAGAGTGTGAAAAGCCACTGCCAAAGCCTGGGATCACCTCAGCCCTTCTTGGTTATTGAAGGTGGGCAGGAGCCAGCAAGTGACCATATGTGTCAGCTGCCAGCAGCCAGGCAGGAATTTCCTGGAGGCCGGCCACTCCTGGGAGTCAGAGCCTGCCCTGCACGCCAGGCCTCCCTCAGTCTTGTCTTCAGACCCCATACAGTAGGATTTTGCGGCCCACCTGCCCCCTCTTTGCCTATCTGGGTCACCCACCCCCAGGGGACAAGGGGGAGCCTTCTTGTTTAAAGGTCTTCACCCACAGCTACCCTCTCTTACATTTTAGATGGTGGCAGGACCCAAGCCCTCCATCTGAAACATTTCCTAGGTGCTGGGGCCTGGCACGTCTGGGGTTTGATCCCTCCCCTCAGTCTGTAAATGCCTGGGCTCCATTGCTTGGGTGGGCTAAGGGGATTTCTTAGCAGATCCCAGGGCCAACTCCATTCTTCTCACCTTTTCTTTTAGAGAAGCCAGATTTGTATCCTGTTCCATCACTAATGACTCATTTTTGAGTGCTTACTGTGTGAACATTCTTATTTAATTGTTTTGAAGCTGCCTTCTTAGCACAGCGGGCAGCGCGTCAGTCTCACGACTGTTTTGACAATCCAGTGAGGTTGAAGTATTGGCCCATTTTTCTTATGAATAAAGGTGAAATAGCCTGCCTTAAGTCACATGGCTAGTAAGCTGCCAAGCTGGAACTCGAGTACAGGCCTTTGACACCAGAGACCGTCTTCCTACCTGTCACACTGCACCGCCTTCCAGCCACAGTGGCTCAGTCAACTCCATGAGTTAGGGCCCTTGTGTGCCAGGCACTGTGAACAAGACAGAATCCCTGTCCCCCCAGAGCTTACATTCCGGAGGAGTTCCCCAACATTTCCAACGTTGTGGCTCTAGAGCTTCTGAGGGTCCTGAGGTCAAAAAGTATGTTTCCATTTTGACCTACGTAGCTGTAGTGGGACAAGGAGGTCAGAGGTGCTAGCCCCTGCCTGGGCTCCTCGATGACCTCTCCCTCACCCCTACCCCACAATACAGCCATTCGCTTTGGCCGGATGCCAGAGGCCGAGAAGAGGAAGCTGGTGGCAGGGCTGACGGCAAGCGAGGGGAATCAGCACAACCCGCAGGTGGCCGACCTGAAGGCCTTCTCCAAGCACATCTACAACGCCTACCTGAAAAACTTCAACATGACCAAAAAGAAGGCCCGCGGCATCCTCACCGGCAAGGCCAGTCACACGGCGGTGAGTGTCACTGCTCGGCCTGGCGGTCCCAGGCTCTGGGCCCTGCTGCCACCTGCCTGACTTCTGGGAGAACCGGGCCTCCTCCCTCCCCTAACTTCATGGTACAGGCAGGGGGTCTGGGGAGCATATGGGCGGGGGTCCCCCAAGGCCTGGCCTCTAACGGGGCCTGGTTTTCAGCCCTTTGTGATCCACGACATCGAGACATTGTGGCAAGCAGAGAAGGGCCTGGTATGGAAGCAGCTGGTGAACGGCCTGCCACCCTACAAGGAGATCAGCGTGCATGTCTTCTACCGCTGCCAGTGCACCACAGTAGAGACTGTGCGTGAGCTCACCGAGTTCGCCAAGAGCATACCCAGCTTCAGCAACCTCTTCCTCAACGACCAGGTGACACTTCTCAAGTATGGTGTGCATGAGGCCATCTTTGCCATGCTGGCCTCCATTGTCAACAAGGACGGGTTGCTGGTGGCCAACGGCACTGGTTTTGTCACCCGTGAGTTCCTGCGAAGCCTCCGAAAGCCCTTCAGTGACATCATCGAGCCCAAGTTTGAGTTTGCTGTCAAGTTCAATGCCCTGGAACTTGATGACAGTGACCTGGCTCTCTTCATTGCGGCCATCATTCTTTGTGGAGGTAAGTGAGGGTGGGGCAGGTAGGCCTGCCCCACACACCCAGCCCTTCTGGGGGTTGGGCCCTCACTGCAGGGCGCCAAGCCTAAGCTGGAGCAGCATGGGGAAGTGTCCATGTGATGATGGCAGTGGAACACACGAGGCACTAACTGTACGTGGAGGACTGGCTCTGTCTTATAGATGGAGAGGAGACAGAAAAAAGACTGAAAAGGAATGTGCCAATCTGTTAATGGGAATTATTTCCTTTTTTTTTTTTTTTTTTTGAAGTTTATGTATTTACTTTGAGAGAGAGAAAGAGAACGAGCAGGTCGGGGCAGAGAGAGAGGGAGAGAGAGAACCCCAAGCAGGCTCGGTGCTGTCAGTGTGGAGCCCGATGCGAGGCTTGAACTCACGAACCATGAGATCATGACCTGAGCCAAAATCAAGAGTTGGACGCTTAACCGACTGGGCCACCCAGGTGCCCCTTAATGGGGATTATTTCTGATGGTAGAGAAATTTTCCATCCTTGGCCTGCGTTTTTCAGATTCCAATACAATAGATACAGTACTCATGCTAACAGTGCCACAGAACTTACTTCATGCCAGGTACTGTTCTGTTTCCTAGAGTATAACTCATTTGATCCTCACAACAACCCTGTGCAGAAGGTGCTTCTGTTACCCCATTTTACAGGTGAGGAAACTGAAGTCAGAGAGGCTGAGTGGCCTGCCCATAGCCTCATCGCTAGTCTGTGGTAGCGATGGGAGTTGAATCCAGGCAGCGAGTCTCTTAACCCTGATAGGGTACTGCCTTTTTCAGAAGAAAAAACAAAAAAGCAAAGGAGATGGGCCAGGACCCGGGGTGGAGACACTAGAATACTCAGTGGGGCAGTCACCGACAGGCCAGGGCTTGGGGTCCATCACAGCAATAGGTCTGCTGTCCCCCGGGCCGAGTCACCCACACAGGGTAGGGTAGAGGTAAGGGAGCTCCTCTGACCCCGTTATGTCCCCATGCATGCCTGCCCCCTCCCACACCTCTGCCCTGTGTCCCCACAGACCGGCCAGGCCTCATAAACGTTCCCCAGGTGGAGGCCATCCAGGACACCATCCTGCGTGCCCTCGAGTTCCACCTGCAGGCCAACCACCCCTACGCCCAGTACCTCTTCCCCAAGCTGCTGCAGAAGATGGCCGACCTGCGGCAGCTGGTCACCGAGCACGCCCAGATGATGCAGCGCATCAAGAAGACCGAGACGGAGACCTCACTGCACCCGCTGCTCCAGGAGATCTACAAGGACATGTACTGAGGGTGTGCGCCTGGGGCCTCCAGGGGCAGGCGGACAGAGCAGGGATAGGCACCACCCACGGGACTTTTCCGGAGAGCAGCCCTGAACGCAGCCCTGAGCGCCAGCGCTGCTTGGCACCACACCGCACCCGGAGCCGCACCGGGAGCCGTGGAATCCCATCCTGCGCTCAGACACGCGGTCTCTCGCCCCTGCTCTGCTCCCTGCGCTCCCTTCTTCCTCGTGCTCGGTCTCAGTTCCTCTTTCTTCTCTAATTTCCTTGCGCTCCCTTTCTTCCTCTCTGTAGGTTTGCCTCTTCCTCACTCCCTCCCTCCCCTTCTCTCTCCCCATCCCTGTGTCTGTCCCTCCTTTTGTGAGACAGTTTGTGTTACTTCACCAGCAGCATGGAACGGGTCCTCTGCCTTTGTCCGCCCGGTCCCCTGTTCCCCAAGGAGCAGGAGGAATGGGCCTGCCCTCTGTACCAACAGTCACCTGCAAGGGTAGGGGCCTCACTTCTCCTGTCTTCACAGCAAAGGATTTGGGCCATCCAAAGAAACACTAAGTTCTCTGGGCCAGGATTCCTGGGGAAGCCACGCAGGGCCTGGGCTGACTGCAGCAACATCCCGAGTCACCGAGTCACTCCCCCAGACTATCACCGCCCTCCCCTACCCAGCCAACCCCTCTCCAGCAGCACGTCCCAGCCCCACTGATACCAATGCCCTCTCTGTTCTTCTTTTCACCAGTCTTCCAGGTCAGTGTCACTGATGGTCCCCTGCGCTGGCCGCTGGGGGACACCCCCAGCCTGGAAGGAGGTGGGCGTCCCTCCAGGTGGGACCCCCACTGAAGAGGAGCAAGCCTCGAGGGAGGCAGAGGTTGGCAGGGAAGGCAGCAGGCGGTGTACTTAATTCTGACCCCAGGCCTTGGTGTCATCGGCACCCACCCCCCCTACTCCCACTCTGCAGCAGCCACTGACCATGACTCCTGTTTCTCCACTCAGTGCCAGGACCCGGCCTCAGATGCATCCAGGAGCCCAGCTGAAGCCCACGCCCCCACACACACACTCCCTGGAGCTGCCACTCCACACACACAAGCACTGACTCACTTTACCTGGTTCCACACCCTTTACCCTGCCCTCCCTTCCCTGAGACAGATGGGCTAGAGGGGCCTACAGGCGGATGGGCAGAGCTGGGCCAGATCCCTTGGTGGCCAGGGGTCAGCTGAGCCAGCCCAGCACCTGCTCATGTGTGACTGCTCAGTGTGACGTCCATTCGTCCCAACAGTTCTGCCGCCCTCCCCTTCCCGTGTTTGGCCCGGCTGGTCACTGACCCTGTGCAGCTTCTGGTGACCAGAGACCTTGCCAGGCCCAGTCCCGCTCCTCCCACGTGAAGCACTAAGCCTGGGAAGAGGGGCTGAAGCCCAGCTTGGATGCTGTGTCTGAGCAGGAAGGCCGAGAGCCCACCCAGGCTGCTTCTCCAGGAAAGAGACTGGCCTGGAAGGGCGAGGGGACTTGGTGAGGGTCTATGAGAAAGGTTGGGGAAGGCCTGAGGCCAGAGCCCAGGCTTCCTGGGTCCCGTCCATCTGCCCCTGCCTTCCATGCCCTGAGCTCATTCTCTACTGACAAGATACTTCCCTCTCCCACCCCCACCCTCGGCTGACCAAGGATTGGGGTTGGGGTGCTCCCTTTGAGCCAGCGCTGTAAAGGGAGAGACGCTGTGCCTGACCCCTGGCCCCCACCCCCCACCCAGGTCTGGTGCTGAGGATATAGCTCTTCTCAGTGTCTGAACAATCTCCAAAATCGAAATGTATATTTTTGCTAGGAGCCCCAGCTTCCTGTGTTTTTAATATAAATAGTGTACACAGACTGACAGAACTTTAAATAAATGGGAATTAAATATTTAAGAGTTGATTTAGGCTGACTCAGTTATTTACGTGTTTTTCCCAGGCAGCTGACCAGACCCCTCCCCCTCCTCCATGTCCAGTGCACGAAGTGGGAAACTTGGCTGGGCAAGTGAGACTTTGGGGTACAGGCCAGGAGAGTTGATTCTGGCTTGTGAGAGCTGCCCATCTTTCCCCATCCCCCGCCCTGCCCACCATCCGTCAGTGAGCGGGGGTGGAGAAGCGAGAAGATGCCATCCCCGTCCTGCAAGGAACATCAGGGGTACCGGCGTGGGGGGCGGGGGGTGTGCGGGAGGCGGCAGAAAGGACATACACACCCCCTTGGTGTCACGGTGGTGTGAGGAGGGCCTGGGAGGGTCTCAGAAGGGCCTTGAGTGGTGTGTGGAAATGCAAAGCCAAAAACCTGTCGTTTGCTGTCCAGTTTTTTTTTTTTTTTTAATTTTTTTCAACGTTTATTTATTTTATTTTTGGGACAGAGAGAGACAGAGCATGAACGGGGGAGGGGCAGAGAGAGAGGGAGACACAGAATCGGAAACAGGTTCCAGGCTCCGAGCCATCAGCCCAGAGCCCGACGCGGGGCTCGAACTCCCGGACCGCGAGATCGTGACCTGGCTGAAGTCGGCCGCTTAACCGACTGCGCCACCCAGGCGCCCCTGCTGTCCAGTTTTGACCACCCACACAAGCGACCAGGACTTTCCTCAGCCGACACCCCAGTTTTCTCCTCTGCTTGCAGAGGCCCCAGGAGCGCCCAGCCCTCAGCAGCCAGTGGGCTGGGCCGCCGTGAGGCCAGCTCGGTGCTTATCTGGCCAGGAAAGCAGACACCCCTAAGAATTTCAAAACGGGGAATTTACTACGGGAAGTTGTTACAAAAGCATTGGAAGGACTGAAAGATCAAAAGGGGGAAAGCGGAGGTCATCCAGACATCAGTAGCGGGGCAGACACTCTCACCCCCGGGGCCCGTGTGGGAAATGGTATCATCTGGTGGCCAGCATCTCTCGAACCTCCACCGACGCTGCAGAAACCAGGAGCCCAGAGCCAGCGATTAACTAGCACAAAGTGCAGACACCCGCTGGAGGGGAGCGGCCCCAGGAGGCTCAAGCTTATGGTGACGGTTAAGTGTGACACTTGCCTCCTGGTTTTCTCTGTTACTGGCCAGAGTGATCTGAACTGTCAAGTCCCATGAGGGTTCATCTCAGCCAGGAGAGTGACAGTCTCAGGGGAACAGGAGGAAGTGAGGAGCAGGAAGAGGAATGCTTGGAACAGGGGCATCTCTGAAATTGATAGCCTTGCTTGCTGATCTGCTTGGTTTCTTTTTCTCACTTCCCTCTCCTTTCCCACACACTAGGCGGTAGAAAAATGAAGACTAGCTCAGCTGTTAAAGGCCAGTCCTCTTCCCAGGGCTAAAGAGGTAAGGACAGAGGATACCAAAAAACTAAATAACACTCAGTTCAGGGAGGAGAAGGTAAGTCTCAGTACCAGTTTTCTTTATTTTTGTAAGATTTTATTTTTAATGTAATCTTGACACCCAGTGTGGGTCTCAAACTTAGAACACCGAGATCAAGAGTCCCATGTTCTACCAACTGAGCCAACCAGGCACCCCACCAGCTTTCTATTGTTACCTGGCTTCTGGTGCTGTAAAGAGATAGCATCTCTTCGCTCTGGCAGCTTATTATTGCTATCACTAAGTGATATTCTTTATTAAGCACCTATTTTGAGCCAGGCATTCTATATACATCACCTCTTAATTCTCACCACTACCCTAAGGTAAATACTATCACCTGCCCATTTTGCAGGTGAGGCACAATGAGAGATTAGCAAGTGTGGCTGGGGTCACTCAGCTAGAATGAGGCATACTGTTCCAGGGCCTTAGGCCATTTGCTTTTTACCTGTGAGCAAAACTTAGGGAGCAATAGTCACCCAGTCTCCTTTTAATGATGCTCAGGACAATAAGTGAATCAAATATTTAGACTAAAAGAGAAGAAAGCAACCTTAAGAGAATTAGAAGATACTATCGTTGTGATAGTTCTTTAAAACTTCTGAAATTATTTTTTTGAAAAAGAAAGAAAGGGGTGCTTGGGTGGCTCAGCCAACTAAGCTCTTGATTTTGGCTGCGGTCATGATCTCATGGTTCCTGGGATCAAGCCCCATGTTAGGGGCTCTTGCACTGACAGTGTGGAGCCTGCTTGGGATTCTCTCTCTCCCTCTCTCTCTGCCCCTCCCCTACTCAAGCTCGCTTTCTCTCTCTCTCTCTCAAAATAAATAAATACGAAGGAGGGAAGGAAGAGTGAGAGAAAAAATACAAAGAGAGGGGTGCCTGGCTGACTCAGTCAGCAGAGCCTGTGACTCTTAATCTCAGGGTCATGAATTTAAGCCCCACATTGGGTATGGAGCTTATAAGGAAGGAAGGAAGGAAGGAAGGAAAGGAAGGAAGGAAGGAAGGAAGGAAGGAAGGAAGGAAGGAAGGAAGAGAAGGAAGAGAGAGAGAGGGAGGGAGGAAGAAGAAAGGAAGGAAGGAAGAAATGGGGTCTCAGGCTGGTAATATCCCTGGGGAGCCTGGAAGAAACATGCAAAACCTTTCTGGAGGACACATACTGGCAGTTGAGAATTCCCACAAAATTATAAAAATGAAGAAAATAATCCTGCATGAAAATACGTAGCCATAACAACCAGTGAAATTAGAACCCCCAGGACATCCAAAAATATAACTTGAATACATTATAAGAAATAAATAGGGGCGCCTGGGTGGCTCAGTTGGTTGAGTGTCCGACTTCAGCTCAGGTCATGATCTCACACTCTGTGAGTTCGAGCCCCGCATTGGGCTCTGTGCTGACAGCTTAGAGCCTGGAGCCCGCTTCAGATTCTGTGTCTCCTGCTCTCTCTACCCCTCCCCTGCTCATGCTCTGTCTCTCTCTGTCTCAAAAAAAAATTAAAAAAAAAAAAGTAAGTAAATAAATAAATAAATAAAGGCGCCTACCTGGCTCTGTCAGGAGAGCATGCAACTCTTGATCTCGGGGTCATGAGTTTGAGCCCTACACTGGGAGTAGAGATTACATAAAAAAAGTAAAATCATAAATAACTTTTATATTTTTAAAAAATACAAAGAAACGGGGCGCCTGGGTGGGTCAGCCGGTTGAGCATCCGACTTCGGCTCAGGTCACGATCTCGCGGTCGGTGAGTTCGAGCCCCGCGTCGGGCTCTGTGCTGACAGCTCCGAGCCTGGAGCCTGTTTCAGATTCTGTGTATCCCTCTCTCTGACCCTCCCCTGTTCATGCTCTGTCTCTCTCTGTCTCAAAAATAAATAAACGTTAAAAATAAAAAATAAAAAAAATACAAAGAAAAAAATCAACACTATAAGGAGCAGTTTGTTTTCTAAGAAAGAAATGAACATTGTATTTATTTTATTTTTATTTATTAGGGAGAGAGAGAATCCCAAGTAGGCTCCACACTCAATACAGAGCCCAACGTGGGGCTCCATCCCACAACCTGGGATCATGACCTGAGCAGAAATCAAGGACACTCAACCAACTGAGTCACCCAGACACCCCCAAGAAAAGGAACATTTTTTTTAATGTTTATTTTTCAGAGAGTGAGTGAGTGAGAGTGGGGGAGGGACAGAGAAAGAGGAAGACAGAAGATCTGAAGGGGGCTCTGCTGACAGCAGAGAGTCTGATGTGGAGCTTGAATTCATGAACTGCAAGATCATGACCTGAGCTAAAGTCAGACGCTTAACCAACTAAGCCCCCCAAAAAGAAACATTTTAAAAGAAATACCTGGAACTTCCAGGGGGAAAAAAGGGGGAAAAAAAAGAGTTAAACAAAACAAAACAGGTTAGACACCATCAAAGAGATCATTTTTGCACCTCAAGAAGGATCTATGGAAATATCCCAGAAAATAGTATGGAAGACCAACATAGAAGATGTCGACAGAAAGAATAGCAGTACAAATTCTTATATGCTGAGAAGGGAATAGAAATTGGTATAATCCACTTGAAAAACCAGTTGGCAAAACCTAGAAAATCTAGGGGTGCCTGAAGAGCTCAGTCAGTTGAGCGTCTGACTTTGGCTTAGGTCATGGTCTCCTGGTTCATGGGTTTGAGCCTGGTGTTGGGCTCTGTGCTGACAGTTTGGAGCCTGGATCCTGCTTTGGATCCTCTGTCCCCCTCTCTGTCTCCCTGTCTGTCTAAAAAAAAAAAAAAAAAAAAAAAAAAAAAACACAAAATGTGACTGTGCCTATGGAGGCTGTGGAGCTTCCAAGAGGTTCTACCGCCCAGAACCCAGGCACTAGTTTCCATGGCCACTGGGCTCACAGCTGACTTCCTCTCAGGAAAGTGCTCTTGCTCAAAGGAGTTGCCTTGCCCAGGATAAGCACACCCCCAGGGGTAGCCTATAGCTAACACTGGGCTATGAAGCCAAGCTACCCTGAACTAGTTTCGTTTTTAATTTTTTTAAATGTATGTTTATTTTTGAGAGAGAGAGAGAGAGAGAGAGCACAAGCAGGGGAGGGGCAGAGAGAAAGAAGGAGACAGAATCTGAAACAGACCCCGGGCTCCGAGCTGTCAGTGGGGCAGAGCCCGAGGTGGGGCTTGAACTCAGGAACAGCGAGATCATGACCTGAGCCGAAGTTGGACGCTTAACCTACTGAGCCACCCAGGCGTGCCTACCCTGAACTAGTTTGGGACAGCCTGAAGAATCACCCCAGCTCCAGAGTTGAGGCTTCTGTTGTAACTGCAATGCAGTTTAACTTCTCTCCATACCATCTTGCTTCTTTCCAATTCCTTACAGCTGTTGTACCAAAGAGCACTCCCTAGTGAGTGTCCTGCACGTAAACCTCCAAATGTATTTACTGGAGAAGCCAACCTGACACACACCCTAAAGTGAGACCCTTTAAATTATACAGACTCCTATGCATTTTGACTGCAGCAATAACAAAAACTTGGAAACGAAATAGTGTTCATCAACAGGACAATGGATATACTTGATATATTTATACAATGTTTTAAAAAAAAGAACTTGGGACACCTGGGTGACTCAGTCAGTTAAGGGTCCGACTTCTTTGGCTCAGGTCATGATCTCGAGGTTCATGGATTTTAGGCCTGTGTCAGGCTCTGTGCTGACAGCTCAGAGCCCAGAGCCTGCTTTGGATTCTGTGTCTCCCTCTCCCTCTGCCCCTCCTCCACTCGCACTCTCTCTCTCTCTCTCTCTCTCTCTCTCTCTCAAAAATGAATAAACTTAAAAAAAAATTTTTAAAGAACTAGAAGAAACACATGGGGAAAGATTTTTATATAAAGTGGATAGACCAAAATGTATTGTATACACAAAGCTTTCTAGTTTTCATGCAGCATATACAAAACTTAGAGTCTATCAGATAAAAAATGAAAAATCTTACTATGTATACATCTTAAAATTTTCTTCCTGGGGCAAAAACCATAAAACACTTTAAGTCAACCATGTGAAAAAAGGTGTGGCATAATCAGAGAACTAGTTTCCTTAATAAATAAAGAACACCTATAAATCAGTGAGTAAAATGTCAGCAACCTGTTAGGAAAATGGGCAAAGGAAATCAATAGAGAAAGAAAGGCCTCTGAAACATATGAAAAGATGCTAGGGGGCGCCTGGCTGGCTCAGGTGGTAGAGTGTACAACTCTTGATCTCTGGATCGTGAGTTCAAGCCCCATGTTGGGTGTAGAGATTACTTTAAAAACAAACATATGAGAAGATGCTTAATTTCATTCATAGAGAAATATAAATTCAAACTAAATGAGATACTGTTTGTTTAATTACCAAATTAACAAATACTAGCAAGTTTGATAACATTGTGTTGGCAGGGGTGTGCAAAAACAGGCACTCTCATGTTGTTGGTAGGAGTTTAAATGGACATAGTCTCCATAGAGGGAAGATTGGCAGCACCTATAAAACATTTTTCAAGTTTATTTATTTTAAGAAAGAGAGTGGGAGAGGAGCAGAGAGAGAGGAGAGAGAGAAACCCAAGCAGGCTCCTCACTGTTAGCTCAGAGCCCCATGCGGGGCTCAATCTCATGAACCCTGAGATCATGACCTGAGCAGACATCAAGAGTTGATGCTTAACCGACCAAGCTACCCAGGCACACCCCCCAAAGTTTTAAAAATAATTTTGATCCATTTGCAATGATGTGGATGAAACTAGAGAATATGTTAGGCAAAATAAGTCAGAGAAAGACAAATAGCATACCATCTCACTCATATGTGGAATTTAAGAAACAAAACAAAGGAACAAAGAGAAAAAAAGAGACAAACCAAGAAACAGACTCTTTAACTATAGAGAATGACGGTTACCAGAGGGCAGGTGGGGGGGGAGGGGATGAGTGAAACAGGTGATGGAGATTAAGGAGGCCACTTGTGATGAGCACCAAGTGACTTACGGAAGTGTTGAATCATTATATTGTACACCTGAAACTAATATTGCATTGTATGCCAACTAAATGGAATTAAAATAAAAACTTAAAATTAAAAAAATAATAATTTTGATCCAAAATGGGCTCCATAGCTCAGTGGTTAAAGCAGTGGCCTTATAAATAATTTCGATCCAGCAAAAGTAAAAGAAATAACAAAGATGTCCAAGATTATTGGTTTCCCAGTCTATGGTCTCAATTTACTGATAGATACAAGATGTTGTTTAAATTTAATTTTAAAACTTCTCCTTTAACTTTATAAAAAGTGTTTACTTATTTATGTTGAGTGAGAGAGCAGGGGAAGGGCAGAGAGAAGGGAGAGAGAGAATCTCAAGCAGGCTCTGCACTGTCAGTGGGGCCTGAACCCATGAATCGTGAGATTGCGACCTGAGCCAAAATCAAGAGTCGGATGCTCAACCGACTGAGCCACCCAGGCGCCCCTCTGCTTTAACTTTTAAGTGAATTCCTCTCATTTGGTCTTTTTAAGCTTCTCTTCCACCCAGGTCAGTGCAGTCTAGCGGAGACAACAGGGGCTCTGGAGGAGTTAAGGGGGTATTAGATGGGACTTGAGGGGGTATTAGAAATAGAACCAGGGGCACCTGGGTGGCTCAGTCAGTTGGGTGTCTGACTTCAGCTTAGGTCATGATCTCATGGTTCATGAATTTGAACCCCATGTTGGGTTCACTGCTGTCAGAGCAGAGCCCGCTTTGGATCTTCTGCCCCTCCCCCACTCCCACTTTCTCTTTCTCTCTCTCTCTCTGTCTCTCTCTCAAAAACAAGCAAACATTTAAAAATAAGAAAGAAAAGAAAGAAAAGAAAGAAAAGAAAGAAAAGAAAGAAAGAAAGAAAGAAAGAAAGAAAGAAAGAAAGAAAGAAAGAGAAATAGAACCAGATGGTGCCTGGCTGGCTCAGTCAGTGGAGCATGCAATTCTTGATCTTGGGGTTGTGACTCTGAGCCCCACGTTGGGTGTAGAGATTACTTTAAAAAATAAAAGAAATAGAATGGGAAGGGAAAGACTCTTAAAGCTCATGGTCCCCCTTGCCCTATCTCCCCATCCTCAATGGGCCCAGCCCATTGCTCTCCCCCCCTACAAGCTTTTGAACACACCAGGGCTTTATGCTGCCCAAGAGGGAGCTCTGCTTGGCGGATTTAGTATCATCCAACTCGAAGTGTCCTCCTTGAATAAAGCTTTGGGCAAGCCCCCTCCTGGCCACCTCTCATGGTAGCCCTTTCTGAGGCACCAACACTGTTCTAATTTCTTACAATCAGGATAGCAAACTGGCTTCAATGGCAAACAGACCAGGCCATGGTGACTTTTTCTAGAAAGAACATCTTGGTCTTGGAGGCAGGTCCCCAGAGTCTCTTGGATCTGTCTAGCACACGGCCCCTCTGGAACAGGCCTCCCTCTACCCCATGCCTGGCTCACAGCATCTCCCGAAGGCTCCCAAGCCTCCCAGCCCACCCTCTGATTTCTCCACCAACCTCAGCTCCACCTGTGGAGTTTATGTAGCCTGGAGTTGGGGGAGGACCCCCTCTGGCCTCCTCTATTATAAACTTCCCTCAGATACCACAAGTTAGTTCCTCAGCCCCAAGACTCGAGCCTCTGAGAACTTTGGCCCTGGGTCCCAGGTCCTTATATCTCCTCCCAAGTTATCCTGCCTTCCTGGACCCTTAAAGTTTTAACCCATTCCCCAGTTTCCTTCAGTAATCACCTAGGGATCCCTGAAGGTCCTCGGGCCCCCCCCCCCCCCCCCCACAACCTGGAGCCTGGACTGGGCAGTTCAACCCCAGAGCCTCCCAGCCATCCTGCCTCTGCCCTCCATCCCTCCTTCCTGCAGGCCTGGGGCCAAGGGAAGGGGCAGGCCTGGCTGTGGAGCCCCTCCTCCTTTGGGCCCGGCCTGGAGAGGGCGGGATAAAGGAGCATTGGGGCAGGCCTGCTTGACGTTCACTAGTGGCTACAGCTGGAATGGACCCCACAGAGTCAGATGGCAGCGGCCATGGTAAAGAGAGCAGCCCCCACTCCCAGCGTCCATGCAGGTAGGGGTATGGGCCTCAGGGTACATGGGGAAGGTGGGAGAAAAGTCTTTGAGGTTTGGCCTGGCCTTTGAAAGCCCAGTCTCTAAGAATTTGGGGTGCATCAGGGGGAGGAGGGGTTTCCTTGCCCCACCCCAATGTTAGAAGGGTCTAGAGATCATTTCCCATGCCCTCATTGTCCAGAGGAGGAGACTGAGACCAGAGAGGAGAAAAGGCACACCAAGGCTGCACAGCTGAGTCCGGGCTAGCTCAGGGTCTGATCATTTAGAACAGGTATTCCCCACTTGCCTTCTTTCTCTTCCACCCAGCAAAGGTTTCTCTGTCCAGGAATACCAAGTATCTCCCTGTGGGTGGGATCCAATGCCCTGGTCACTTCTCTAGCCCCAGAACTTGGCATGAAGCCAGGTGTTCATAAACATTTAAATGAAAACACATCAGGTTGAACATTCCACCATTAGAGAGTCATTCTCTGGGGCATGCTGGCTCAAACATTCATACCTTAGCCTAACTTCATTTTACCAACAGTTTGAAGAGCTCAGTTCCCCCAGAGAGAACTGAAATTTGGGTAAGGATGGGATACTTGTAGATCTTAGGGTCTCAGAGGGAAGTGGTTTTCCCAGGCTGGGAAGAAAGGCAGCTAGGTAGCAAGAGGGAGGCACAGATGTTTACTGAAGGAGATTATCAGTTGTTCCTTCCTGAGCTTTGGACAGGGCCAGGAAGGTGACAGCCTAGACTAAGTTTGGGCCCTCAGTTCTAAAAACCCCAGTCAGAGGGCTCATCTGGCAGGCTCCACCTCCCCCTGTACCATACCCAACCCTAAATTCCTCAGTCCCTCCTCCTGTACCCAGCCCCCTCACAGTGCAGTCCTGATTCCCCAGGCTCACTACTCAGGGGTCCAAGGCTCCAGCACCCCAAACACCAAGGCCCTTTGGCTGCCTCCCCAGGCCTGGATTACCTATGATCTCCTGCTGCTCTGTCCCTCCTCCTTGGCCTCAGACCTTGACTTGAGAAATTTCCCAAAGCCGGCGGACCTCACCCCTGACAAGTCAATCTTGTTTGCTTAGAGGATGATTGGGCTGAATGAGGGCACCTGGGTTGTACGGTCCTGGCTCTTGTTCCGGGGCCCAGGCCAGTTACTTTACTTCTCTGAGCCTCAGCTTTTGAAAACAAAACAAACAAAAAATGACTCCTGACTTTAAGGCTTGTTTTGAGGATTCAATGAACTAATTTGACATTTCCAAAAACAAAATGTGTTTCATCAGTACGTTAAGAGTGTGGGGGTGGAGGGCCTAAACAATTAACGATAAAAATAGGTTTAAGCAATGCTGGGTGAAATCAAATAGGTTCCTTTGCGGGGCTCACCAGAGCCTTTAATACGTTCACATACAGTAAGCAATACACAACACGGCTTGAAGAAAATATAGAAGGAAGAGTTACTCAAATGTGGCTTTGATCACAAAGCCCCTAGCCCCTTTTCTTGTGCCTCATCCAAGGGGCTGAGCCCCCCGGGGACATGCTTGGAGACCTCCTGTCACCGAGCCTCTCAGGAGTTAGTTTGGTGGCCCCTGTTTTGGCAGTCCTGGAAGTTGGCCTCATTGGTGGTCTTTAGGGAAAGGCAAAGTTTTCCTAGCACATCTCTCCTTCTGGAGGCTTCCATTGTTGAAGAGGAGACCTGAAAACCCTTCCTCTGAGGGTTACTGGCTCTTGCTCTAGGATCACCCCCCTTCCATGGTGACTCTTCTTTTCCACCTCCCCCATCCCCAGCCCTGCTGAACTTTGGTTGTCACCTACTGGTCCGGTCCTTCCCCCAACCCAGTCTTTTCGTGTTTACTCCCCCGACATGGTAACTGGGAGCAGAAACAGAGCAGACCAGGCACCTTCCACAAACCTCCTAAAAGAAATTTGGACAACCGCAGGTCCCCTCCACACTTCACGTTACCTACTGGTTTCCGTGGTAATGTAAATTGTTGCAAAAGATGATCATCTCTAAAGTATTACAAATAGTCCCATTTTAAAATAAAACAATTGGGGCGCCTGGGTGGCGCAGTCGGTTAAGCGTCCGACTTCAGCCAGGTCACGATCTCGCGGTCTGTGAGTTCGAGCCCCGAGTCAGGCTCTGGGCTGATGGCTCAGAGCCTGGAGCCTGTTTCCGATTCTGTGTGTCCCTCTCTCTGTGCCCCTCCCCCGTTCATGCTCTGTCTCTCTCTGTCCCAAGAAAAATAAATAAACGTTGAAAAAAAAATTTTTTTAAATAAATAAATAAATTAAATAAAATAAAACAATTACTTTTTTAAAAAATTCCAGAAGCTATTTTTAAAAGATGTTTTTAGAGACAAGTTACATCACTAAATCAAATGCATTTTGTCATTTCTGAATCTTTCCTCTCCAAGGCTGGCCCTTCAGGCAAGATTTTGAGGGATGTGTTCAAAGCCCTCAGCCCACAAGAACTTGCCCTCAGTCTTCCTGTAGCAGCTTCTCATTTTTTCCAAGCCAGGCAGTGAGGATGATTATAAGGCACCACAGAGCACTGGGCTGGGGCAGGCTGTAGCTCTGGGTAGAAATCTGAATCCTGCTTGCTTTGGGTCCTACACTTGCTGTGTAGGCAGACCAGTAATGGCAGGTAAGTGGCTAGATGTGAATAAGTCCATTCTTCTTTCCATGCGTCCAATGTCATCCATCTAAAAAAAGAAAAAGAAAAAGAAAAAAAAAAAGAGAAAAAAATATATATACAGGCTCTTAGAGTTTTACATAATTCCCTTTTCTCCTTGCATGCCTCCTCCATTTCACTTTCCCCCCAAATTTTCTCCTAACATATTTTTATTCTCAGATGCTGTCTTTTGCTGATCACAATATTATGTTTCTGCAACAAAGATATTTGTGAAACAGAATTAATTTTTTTTTGCTGGATTTAGTTATTGGTAGTACTCAACTGATCCAAATAACCTGAACAGTTAATTACTAAATAACAAAGAATTTTCTTTAGAAAATTTTCTCCTGAGGTAGATGGAAGTTGCTTTTTTTTTTTTCTGCTCCCCAGAAAGCTCATGTATCCATGGATATAAATATTACTTATTGCTAGAATAAGCCAACATTCAACATCAATTTCTTTTTTTTTAATTTTTACAATGTTTATTTATTTTTGAGAGAGAGAGTGTGAACAGGAGAGGAGCAGAGAGAGAGAGAGAGAGAGACACAGCATCTGAAGCAATCTCCAGGCTCTGAGTTGTCAGCACAGAGCCCGATATGGGGCTTGACCCCACAAACCCAAGATCATGACCTGAGTCGAAGTCAGATGCTTAACTGACTGACCGACCCAGGTGCCCCAACATCAGTTTCTATTTTCAGTTTTTGTAAATGGAAGCACTATGAAATCTTGTTCACATAAATAAGTGGATGGGAATGAAAGGGGATTTGTTCTGCTGGGGCACTGAATTCTTTGCATTTCCTCTGAATTAAATGGCAAAAATTACATAGTACTATCATCAAAAAGTACTGTTTAGTGATCTTACGTTACACTCAAAGGCCTTCCCTGACCACCCTGTCGAGTGCCCACCTTGCCAGCCATTTGTTTCTGTCTGAGCCCTTTTCACGGTCTGTGTTTGTCCTGGTTACTTGTGTCCTTGCAGGGCCGGGGAAGCAAATAGCTTGTGTGGCATTGAACCCTCTCTTTGTTTAAAAGTTTGATATTTGTCCAGTGTAGATTTTTTTTGCGTTAATTTTGATCTTTAAAATATGATTTCTTTTATTGGTGAGGTTTTTTGTTTGTTTGTTTGTTTGGCATCCCCTGAGATGTTGTGTCTGAGGTGAGCACCCACTCTCCTCCCGCTAGTCCTGGCCCTGGTTTCTTGGTGGTGTGCTCTGTCACCTCAGCAGGAGCTCCATAGGCAGGTTCCTCATCCAGGAGTTCCACACCATCGTTGTGGATGAAGGACCACGTGCCCCACAATCTGGAACCCTCACCAACAAGTCCTGTCGCCCATCTTTTTTTCCCTCGGCCTACTTCTCTGCTGGGGCCTCTCACCATTGGACATTCTTGAGGGAGTGGTGCCCACCAGTCTATGGCAGACCCTTAGCTCGGGTTGGCAATCTGTGTTCTCTTGGGACTAGAATAAGGCCTCTGTCCCCATCCCTGATGCCCTGGCCACCTCATGTGTGGCCTCATTCGCCCTCCAGGCAAGGAAGCACATGACAAAAGTGGACCGCTGTCCCAGAGCCCTGGCCCAGGCCTGAACATGTGGTAGATTCTTAACAAACACCTGTCCAACCCAGCCTCCTCCTTCCCTTCTCCATCTCCCACCTTGACCCTCAAAAGCCCCTGTAATAGTGATGATGAGGAAGACAACAGCTATTATTTTATTGAGGGCTTGCTATAGGCCAGGTGTCTTACATATATTATCTCATTTACATTTGACATCCCTCATGAAATAGGTACAAATATTATCACCATTTTACAAGTGAAGAAACTGAGGCATAAAAAGGTTGTCCAAGCTCAAGCAACCAAGAAGTAGCAGTATCAGGCAGAACAGGTTGTGTAATCTGTGGGCCCCCATTCAAAATGAACATCACGGCCCTTGTTAAAAAATTTAATCATTTCAGGTGGGCAACAGCAGATCATTAAAGCAAGTGTCGGGCCCCTGTGTGACTAAATATCCATGCCCATGAAGCTGGTCCTAGTAGCAGAATTTGAACCCAGAGTTCTGATTCCAGAACCTACAAGACTCTGTACTTGGAGGACAGAATAGTAATCACTATGATTTACTGAGCACTCACTAAGTGCCTCGTGCAAAACCTTAAAAAACAAAACAAAACAAAAAAACCCCTCGCAGGGTGCCTGGGTGGCTCAGTCAGTGAAGCATCTGACTTCAGGACATGATCTCACACTCTGTAGGTTCAGGTCCCATTTTGGGGTCTGTGCTGACAGCTCAGAGCCTAGAGCCCGCTTCGGATTCTGTGTCTCCTTCTCTCTCTGCCCCTCCCCTGCTCATGCTCTGTCTCTGTCTCTCAAAAATGAATAAATGTTAAAAACAAAAACAAAAACAAAAACTTTGCAACAACTCTGAGGTAACAAAGAGGCATTGTTAACTTTGTTTGTTTGTTTGTTTGTTTGTTCTGAAAGAGAGAGAGAGGAAACACAGGTAGGGGAGAGGCAGAGAGAGAGAGAGAATCCCAAGCAGGCTCCATGCTGTCATCACGGGGCTCAATCTCATGAACTGTGAAATCACGAACTGAGCTGAAATCAAGAGTCAGATGCTTAACTGATGAAGCCACCCAGGTGCCCTCTTTTTTTAAGAGTGAGGAAACCAAGCTTTAGGAAAGTTTGAGTTACCCACCCAGGGCTCCCTAGAAGGGGCAGGATTTGAACACAGGACCAACTCCAGAGCCCGTGTTCAGCTATCCTACAGCCTCTCTCTCTAAGGATTACAAAGGCAGGAACTAAAACGAGGTTGAGCATGACTCAGACAATCTCTTAGGACATTTGCCCGAGGGGCCTGTCGCTGGGGGTTGAGCTGCTACATCGCTCAAGACAGAAAGGTGTCCCAGGTCTGCAGATACTTCCAGCGAGGCTTCTGCTTCCACAGAGATCAATGCAGGTAAGCAGCCCTTGTCCTCAAATAAGGAATAGGGTGGGGGACACAGGAAGGATCATCCCTTCATGGACCACGCATCTTCCCAAAGCCTCCTCTCCCCTCTCAGTTCCGACTTCTAGGCTGAGCTAGCTCTGAGCCCTGGCGGATCTAGCTGTGTCTCCTCACTCTTCTCTTTCCCACTGCAGCTATCAGCACCCTCAGCCCCCTGGCCACCTGGAATGGGGCCGGCGCCACTCGGAGCCACGTGTCACCCTGCCAAGACCCCGGCTGGGGCTGACCCGCAGGGGCTCCGAGCCCACCTACCTGCCCTCTGTGGCTGTGGGTTGGGACTGGCCGGGGGCCTGCTGGGGTATGGAGCCTGGCCTGGTGGGGTTGGCCGGCAAGGCGGAGGAGGTTGATGGTAGTTCCTGGAAGTCCCCGTCACCATCATGTGAGTCATCAGGGGCCCTGCAGGTGGGCACAAGTGGGATCTGAGACCAGGGTTCCTGTGCTGTCTCTGAGCAAGGTTTATATCTCCTTTTACCTCTTTCCCACCTCAAGATTCCCAGCTAGAGGGAAGCTTACTTCCAGCTCTGTTGTTGTCTGTGTGCTAGAAGCAGAATTTCATGGTGCCTGAGGAGTCAAACCACCTAGTCTCAAATGCTGGCTCTGCCACTTAGTAGCTGTGTGGGCTCGGATGAGTCACTTAACCTCTCTGGACCTCTGTGTCCTCAGTGATAACAGTACCTGTCTCAGGTCTTGTGAGGGTGCAGTGAATTCATAAATGTGATGTGCTTAGCACACAGTACCTGGCACAGAGTAAACACTAAATGTTAGCAGTTATTTTTTTAAATTATTCTAATTCAGTGCTGTCCAGCTGGAACACAAGTCACCTATATAATTTAACAGCTTTAGTGAGATATAAGTCACAAATTCACCAGTTTAAAGTATACAATCCAATGTAATATAGTATATTCAGGGATGCCTGGGTGGCTCAGTTGGTTAAGCGACCGACTCTTGATCTTGGCTCAGGTCATAATCACAGTTCGTGGGATCGAGCCCTGCATCAGGCTCTGCCTGCTTGGGATTCTCTCTCCCTCCTTCTCTCTCTGCCCCTTCTCTGCTTGCTCTCTCTCTCTCTCTTTCAAATAAAACATTAAAAAAAAAAGAATTGATATAGTATATTCGGAGTTCTACAAACATTACCACTATCTAATTTTAGAAGATTTTCCCCACCCCAAAAGGAAACCCATGAGCCAACCACTCCCTCTCCCCCACTCCTCCCTGCCCCTAGAAACCACCAGTCTACTTTCTGTCTCTATGGATTTGCCTGTTCTGGACACTTCATATAAATGGAATCCCACTATATGGCCCTTCGTGTCTGGCTTCTTTGACTTAGCATCACATTTTCTGGGTTCATCCATGTTATAGCACGAATCGGTACTTCATTCCTTTTTATGGTCAAATGCTATTATTCTGTTATATGAAAATACTACATTTTGTTTTATTAATTCATCAGTTGATGGACCTTTGGGTTGTTTTGTTTTTTGGCTATTACAAATAATGTTGCTGTAAGCGTGCACGTATACAAGTTTTTGTGTGGACGTGTATCTCATTTCTTTGCTATATACCTAGGAGTAGAATTGCTGGGTCGCATGGTAACTCCATGTTTAATATTTTCAGGACGTGCCCAGCTGTTTTCTAAAGTGGTTGTAATTCACATATGCAATCTACATTTTTTCATTAAAAAATTTTTTTAATGTTTATTTTGAGAGAGAGGGAGAGGCAGAGAGAGAGAGAGGATCCCAAGCAGGCTCTGTGCTGTCAGTTCAGAGCCTGATGCAGGGCTCAAACTCACGAACCATGAGATCATGACCTGAGCTGAAATCAAGAGTCAGATGCTTAACTGACTGAGCCACCCAGGTGCCCCTGAAATTTACATTTTTCTAGGAGCCACATTCAAAAAGTAAAAAGCAACAGGAGAAATTTAATTTTAATGTTATATTTTATTTAACCCAATATATCAAAAAACATATATCCAAAATCATCCCAACATGTAATCAACATAAAAAGTTATTAATGGAATATTTTAGAGTCTTTTCTGGTACTAAGCTTCAAAATCTCAGTTCAGAGTAGTTGCATTTCAGGTGCTCAATAGCCACATGTGGCCAGCGGCTGCTGTATAGGACAGGATAGCTGTAAATGGTGTATTAGAGACCTACACTTCTGACTGGATTCCCAGTTACTTGGGGGCAAGACTTTGCATGCCCATAGAGCTCTATGTGCAGCAGACACTCAGCAGATGTTACACGAATGAGTAAATGAATGAATGGATCCAGTTTTCCCCAACAGCTGCTGACGACGATCACTGTTACTCCCAGGAGCCTCAGCCTAAGTCAGACCCTGTCCGGGAGCTCATGGCCCCACTTCAGAGCCTGGGCCTGGAGCTGCAGCAGGTAGCGGGGGAGGGGCAGTGGCAGAGGATGCCATGCTGGACCTCTGAGATGCCCGGGCCAGCTGGAGGAGGGCTATATGGTCCCTGGGCTGTATTGGGGATGGCAGTGTGTATGCGTTGGGGGAGGGGGTGGACACGGATGTGCCCTGACCCTGTGTGTGGCTGCAGAGGGAGCAGGACAGTCGGGACGTCGTGTGTGGCATCTGCATGGACAAGGTGTGGGACAAGCCAGAGGCTGAGCGGATCTTCGGCATCCTACCCAACTGCACCCACGCCCACTGCCTGGGCTGCCTGCGCACCTGGCGGAAAAGCCAACAGAACTTCCCACTGGCTGTCATCAAGTCAGTGTCAGGAGGAGCCTGGGAGGGAGGGAGGGAGGGAGACACTTCAGAGAGGTGAGGGCTTGTGACTGTTCTCCCACTCCCGCCTCGGCAGGGCCTGTCCCCAGTGCCGTGTCCATTCCAGCTACATCATCCCCCACAAATTCTGGGTGAGCGAGGGGGCTGAGAAGGAGCAACTCATCAGGAACTTCAAGGCTCGGACCAGGTGAGGCTGGCAGGGGGACCATGACCCAGGTTAGGGAAGAGGAGAAGACAGCCTCTGCTCCATTCTGGCTCAGCCGTGGTTCCCAGCCTGGGATCCCCCAAATCCCGGAAGTTCAGAATGATAGAGAGGGCAGACGAGGATGTGAGCTATTTCCACTATTTCAGAAAGCCCAATAAATAATGATGAGTGACCGAGACAGCAGATCAAGCCTTCCAGCCTGGCTCAAGGTCAAGGTCAATGCAGGGTACCTGTTTTTCTCAGTGCAATGAGAAACCCTCCTTGGCTTTTACTTCTGATTTTTTTTTTAAGCAAGGAGATAAATTGATATGAATGTTGTTTGTGTAGATGATCTTTGAAAACATGGGGTCTCTGAGAAAGAGACCAAAAGGCAGCCCTTGGAGACAGGGAAAAAGTCAGTAGGTTTTAATCTCTTGTGGAGGGTGGGCATACATCCAGATCTGGAATTAACTACAATTCCAGGTTCTTAATTTCACCTTCCCAAAGGGCTTATTATATGCTACATATGCAAAGTCTATTTGGATAAAGGGTGGGATCAAAAAAGAAGGTCTTGTCTCCACCTGTGACACATTCGACCTTGCTGAGAAGGCACCGGATTTTGCTGTGAACTATAACAGCTGACTCAACAAAGTGGGGAAAAGCTCTTGGGCTCTTGGGTGAGTCTCACAGAGGAGGAAGTATTTGAGCTGTGGGTTGGAGGAGGGGGCTCCTCTGGAGGAGAAAAGTGAGAGCACTCCAGGCAGAGACAGGTCAAAGTGAGGAGATAATTGGCATCTGGGGTACCAGTCGGGAGTCTTTAGAAGTTGTCTAAGCCAAAAGGGAGCACCCAGGCCCAGGTAGGATAGGAGATGATGTAGATGAAGGGCTTATTATATATGACAGACTTTGCACATTATAAACTCTGTGAAGTAGGGCGTCCTAAGATCCTCATGCGCAGAAGAAGAAACTGAGGCATGGTCTGTAGGACTTAAGTGAGAAAGTGGGGTTTGAAGCCAAGCATTCTGACTCCTAGTGCATACTGGAAGGAATGGGGGAAGTGGGGTATTGAGAGGAAGTGGCCAAGTGACCATGAGGTTAGAAGGAAGATTTAAGAGGCCTAATACTTTCAGCATAGGTGGTCCCAGGACTGTCACTGTCCCATGAGGGTGAAGAGAAAGAAGCTGATGGCAAATGTAGATAGGTTGCGTGTGGGGTTTTTGTAGGCTATCCAGATGGAGGGGGTTCTGACGCCAGGTTTGAGTAAATAGGAGGAGGAAGAAGAGAAAGGGCATCAATTTCATTTCATTAGCTAGCAATTACCAAATCATAAGCCCACTCCTCAGAACAGGACATTGTTTTAAGTTGGTTACAGAGACACGTTTTAGGATTATCTTTTCTTGGTGGTATTGTTGAAACTTAGTTCAAAGAAGGAAAAGAGATGCCCAGTAGCCCAAATGAACTTTGTGGAGACTTAGAGAAAGGCACCCCCCCCTTAAGACACTTTACTGCCATCTGCTGGAAAATAGTTGTAATAAATGTAAAATCTACACTATGATGCCAGTGGTGACTGCGTACAAGTGGTGCCTTTGTGCTGCGTACAACCTACCCAGCCTTACGCGTCAGCCTTCAGTGCTCCTTGTTCCTGGGGCAACAGGGCTTGAAGTAATGGTCTTCTCTCCTTCTGTCCTCTCATAGCCAGATCCGATGTCGGTTCTTCATGCAGGGGAATGGCCGCTGCCCCTTCAAGTCTGATTGTATTTATCTGCACCAGCTACCGGATAAAGCCCTGACCTCTGATTCTCCCTGGACTGAGAGTATGCAGCTGACCTCTGGGAGTGAGGTGGTAACAGCAGGAATGTGGGACAGGGAGGCTGCTTGCCCTGTTTACAATAAATGTCTGTGATAAATATAAGACCTATACATGATGTCCATAAGGATAACGGTGCCTGCTTAGATGGGGCATCTTTGTGCTACGTACAACCTGCTCAACCTTATGTGTCAGCCTTGATTCTCTTGTTCCTGGGGCAATTGGGTTGAAGGTGATGGGTTTTCATTGATTTCTTTCTCTACTCCCAGGTACTGGGCCCAACAGGGTTCCAAGGGGGCACCGAGCAGGAGGACGAAGCATTCTTCATGGACTGTGCCCTGGCCATGGCCTTCTGGGGTTCAGAACTCTTACTGGATCGCAATAATTCTTACCTTGGCTTTCTGTAACCAGGATCAACATGGGGGATGGGGCTGAGGGGCAGGGGGTTGCTAGGTGGTAGGTCTTTTCCCTTTTGGGACTTGGTGGGGGATGAAAGTAGCAAGCCCTCCATGCCCATGAAACTAGTACTGACACAGCTAGGGAACAGGGGAAGAGGTGGGGGGGGTCTCGGGAAAGAGGAGGTGTTCACTTTCTTGCCAGGGACTTGGTTTTTAACTTTGCTTTTTGTAGGATTCTGAAAGAAAACCAATAAAATGCATCTAAGCTATTACTGCTAGTATCTAAAAAGTGTCTGCTCATAGCCCGGATATCCTCCCCCTAAACCAAGGGGGGTGGTTCTGCATTCATTCTGTTGCAATATCACCTGTCAGCCTCTGGAAAACTTCATTTTGTGCTCATAAGAATACGAGAGTGGAAAAGAAAATTAATAACAACTTAGTATTATAAAAATAGTAATGACATCAGAATCCCATGAAAGGGTCTCCAGGATCCCCCTGGGTTGTTTAAACCACTCTCAGAACTTTCCCCTCCATTCTCCTTCCCAGTGGCTAGAATGCAGACCTTGGTGGGCATGAGCCAGAGCCACCACCAGAGGGTAAAGCTGGTAGTTGAGGATTGGCAAGTCACTGAAGGCTATTTAGCATTCCTGACCCTACCCGCTACTTGTCAGGGCCTGTCCTCCCAACAGCTGGTCATTTGAGGACTGAAAACCTCTCTTATGAAGTTAGAACAGCTAACCTGAGACAGAGGTGTCTGCACAAAACTTCTGCTAATGTGGTGTCTGCAAAGCAGTCACTATCTGAGAGATACTCCTTAGTCTTTCCCAACAGCTCCCTTGAAATTATTTTGGAGAAAACAAAAGTTTGGCTCCAATGAAAATCAGATCCAGCTCAAAATATTCCTATGGCTTACCATACCATTACCATGCCCACCTGGTCAGCTCAGGTGGTAGAATGTGCAACTCTTGATCTCAAGGCCATGAGTTCAAGCTCTGCATTGGGTGTAGAGATTACTTAAACAAACCAAATATTCCTATGCTTACCATACTACTTAGAGTGAAAACTGAAGTCCTCTTTCTGATCTCAAGGCCTCAGAAGACCTGGCCCAGTTACCTCTCTGATCTCTTCTCTGATTACTCTCCAAGTACATTCTGCTCCAGTCATGCTTATGCCTCAGGGCCTTTGCATGTGCTACTCCCTCTGCATGAAATGTCTCCCCACAGATCTCTCTACCTGACTTGCTCCCTTAACTTCTTCAGGTTCATCTTGCCTGCCTACCTATTTAAATTCACCTCCCCCACCCCTGCTTCCCTGCTATATTCTTCTTGAAAGCACTCACCACAATCAAACATTCTACTGTTTACTTATTAGTTGTCTCTCCTCACTGGAGTGTCAGCAACAATGAGGTGTTTGTTTTCTTCCCTGAAACCCCAGCCTCAGGTGCTCAGCAAAGATTGATTGAATGAATGGATGTGTGTGTGACTGCAGAAGCTGGGAGAATGGTAAACACAAACTGGAACCCAAAGTGGTGTTTGTGGGGTGCTGTGGAGCTCTTCTCCCCTCTCTATTCTTATCCTCTGTAGTGATTCCTCCTAGCCTGCTACTTCAGTAGAAGTCTGCCTCCTCCAGCAAATTTCCTTAAAACTGAAACCTTGGGAGGTGGAGCCACTCCCTGCTCCTTGTAAACAACCAGAGCAAGTGGGCTTCTTGGACTTTGTGAGGAAGTTCACAGCAAGGCCTTTGGCCATATAGCTGAGGGATAGTTGTGCATCAAATATTTCTAGAGTACTGAAACCTTAATGATGGCGGTTGATGGCCTGTGGAAGAGGTGACATCAAGGCAGGTTGGTAAATGGTGACCAAATCCTATCGCAAAGTTTGTGATCTACACATAACATGGAAATCAGATAAAATTAAATGATACTTGGATCCTGAAGAACAACAGGATTTCTCGGACGCCTAGGTGGCTCAGTCAGTTAAGCGACGCACTTCAGGCCATGATCTCATGGTTCGTGGGTTCGAGTCCTGCATTGGGGGCAGCCCGAAGCCTCTTCGGATTCTGTGTCTCCCGCTCTCTCTGCCCCTCCCTTGCTCCCGCTCTGACTCCCTCAAAAATAAACATTGAAAAAAAAAAAAAACAACAGAATCCCTCACATCCACTCAGGAACCCCACCTCCCGCCCAACTACTTCAGGAAGTGTGGAGGAAGGAAGGTGTAGATCACAGGCAAAGATCCACCCCTTCACCAAGCCCCGCCCCACTCCACTATCTCCGGCAGGACACCTCCTACAAGCTACAAGCGAATTCCCACATTGTGGCCCTGCCCTCACCGCGGCCCCGCCCCATCCGTGGATCACGCGGGGCCTTCCTCCCTCCCCCTTACTCCGTTCCCAGACTCTCTGGCCAGGATCATTGCTAGCCCCGCCCCTTCCGGCCTACCCTGGCCGCTCGCTCCACGTCCGGCCCCGCCCCTAGCCACACCCCACTCGGTACCTTTCTAACACTGGGCGCGAATCTCACCGGCTGGTGGTGCTTAGTGTGCGTCTCCGAGCGCGGAGTGTGGCAGGTGCGGGAGGACACTCTCCGCGGCGTCGGGGCAGGCGCTGGGGTCCTGCTCCCTTTCCCCAGTTGTCGAGGCTGAGGTCAGGAGCCAGATCGGCAGCTGGTGCAGCACCCGGGTCCCGGGCATGGCAGCCTCGGAGGCTGCACCCGCCCTGACTGAGGGCTCGGGGTCGGCGCCCTGGGAGCAGCTGGATGCCCCCGCCCGGCTCCTGCTGCAGGCGCTGCAGGCCGGACCGGATGGAGCGCGGCGCGGCCTGGGCCTGCTGCGGGCGCTGGGCAGTCGCGGCGGGGAGCCCTTCGGCTGGGGCCACGTCCTCGAGGCGCTGTGCCAGGAGGAACCCGTCGTGGAGGGCCCGGACTGTCGCCTTGAGCTGTAAGTGGTCTGGTTGTGGGGCGCGGCATTTCTCCACGGTCATGTGAGGCATGGGCTGGCGCCGCCCACTTTTCTAGATGAAGAGACCGAATCCCGGAGCGGTTAATTGGTTCCCCTCAGCCGGGCGTCCCTGCCGCGCACCCTGTAGGGAGGAGCATCCAACAGACCTTTATTGAGAACCTGCTGGGTGCACGGACGCAGCCGCGAACCTGCCTGGAAGACACCCGCCTTCCGCTGAGTGTAAATGAGTAATTAGAAGCCAGTCGGCCGGGGGCGCCTGGGTGGCTCAGTTTGGTTCAGCGTCCCACTTTGGCTCAGGTCTGGTCATGAGCTCCTGGTGGTTCATGAGTTCGAGCCCCACCTCGGGCTCTGTGCTGACGATTCGGAGCCTGGAGCCTACTTCGGATTCTGTGTCTCCCTCTCTTTCTGCCCCTCCCCTGCTCACGCTCCGTCTCTCTCTGTCTCTCTGAAAAATAAACAAACATTTAAAAAATTAAATAAAAAAGACGACAGTGGGCTCAAATAGATTCTGTTCGCAGATTCCCATCTCTAAAGAAATGGAACGCATACCTCCAGCGTAGGGATACTTACCTATAACAAAGTGTACACAAGTGCAAAAATAATGCCCAAGGGGTGCCTGGGCGGCTCAGTCAGTTGAGCCTTTGACTCTTGAATTGGACTCAAGTCATGGTCCCATGGTTTATGGGATCCAGCCCCCTGTCCGGCTCTGTGCTGACTTGGTGGAGCCTGCTTGGGATTCTCACTCTCTCTCTCTGCCCCACCCCCAAATAAATAAAACTTAAAAAAAAGTAGCGCACATTATAAAGTATACAAAAATAGACATTTAAAACGTGGTGAGAAAACGGACCATCTGTTGGAATGGCTTTATAATGTCGAATTTTCAAAGCACAGTGTACATTCTAGGGCAAAATCACTTTTCTTAAGGATGGTGTTCTTGATAATTATAGTCTTTGGTATGACTTTGAACTTTTCAAAAAAAATTTTTTTATGTGACAATTTCTGCTAGGAGAAGGGTCAGCTCTGCCATTTTCTTATTTGGTGTGCGTCATTTACTGGCATTCAGTTTCTTTTCAGTCATCCTTATAAGTTGTGTGTCCATTTAGTGAGGTTGGTGGTGTTAAAAAACAATACCGTATCCATAAATTCCTTTAATTATCATAATTAAAGTGCACAGAAAAATGTAAAAAGTGACTGAGGTGCTGCCTTCAGCCTCTAGGGGGCTCTGCACACTTGGATACCTCTCCCTCAAAATTGGGCTGGAGACTGGAAGGTGAAGGGCCATTGCATACATTAAATATTTATGATAACTAACTTCTTATGTTTTAGGTAAGTAGAAATGTAAGTTCTAATACTGGCTTCCCACACCCCACTTTGAATTTTTTTTCAAGAAATGGCTCAGGAGGACTTTCTGCATCCCCAAATTGGAGGTCATAGAAATGTTTGTCCAGCTGTCTGGCTTTTTCCGGACAGAATAAGAGGAGGGGACTTAATCTAAGGTCTCTGGGTACAACTTTACTTCAGTATAATTGGTTTCTTTCATAATCTCATGTATTTTATTTTGTGCATTTAACACTTATTTTGATAAGGGGGTTCGTGCACACACAAGAGTTATAAGTCCTTGAAGTTAGGATAGGGTCTCCCCCACCTCTGTACTCCTAATCATCCTCTACCACAAATTGACCATATTTAAAAAAAAAATTTTTTTTAATGTTTATTTATTTTTGGGAGAGAGAGGCAGAGCATGAGCCGGGGGAGGGGCACAGAGAGAGGGAGACACAGAATCTGAAGCAGGGTCCAGGCTCTGAGCTGTCAGCACAGAGCCCGACCCAGGGCTCAGACCCACGAACCATAAGATCATGACCTGAGCCAAGTCGGAGGCTTAACTGACTGAGCCACCCAGGTACCCCAAATTGATCATCTTTTTAACTTTTACTTTAGTTTTCTCTCTCACTTAAGTAGTTGGTTTTCACAAAGAAATAAAAGTCAGATTTTTTTCTCTTTCACTCATCCCAGGTGCCCCTTGTGTATGATGATAAGCAGCCCTGCAAAGTCCCATAGAGAGGAGCAGAGGCGTGATGGCAGGTGGGCTTGATGTACCCATGACTTGCCACACCAGTAAGCCTCGGGTCCCACAGCCGATTTGTGCCTTTACAGCATTACAGACGGCTACACTGCTCTGTCCACAGTAGTGCTTGCCGATGTCTGGACACTTAATTCTGAGAGTTAATTCATTCAATAAAGTGTGTATCAAGTGCCTGATGTGGGCTGATGCTCTGCTGGGTACTGGGACATGGAGGAAGGAGACACTGCCTGTGCTTCTCAGGAACTCAGCGGGGTGAAAGGAATGTCACAGCTAGACTGATGTAACCCTGTGAGTTCCAGGGGATTGCCAAGGAGAGCACAGGGCTGCAGAATAAACACTGCACAGCGTCCTAGAGTGTTATTATTTTACTTTGGGCCTTGGTGCATCCCACAGCACATTCTTTTTGTTTGTTTAATTTTATTTATCTTTTTAAGTAAGCTCTGTGCCCAACCTGGGGCTTGAACTCATGACCCTGAGATCAAGAATCACACGCTCTAGGGGTGCCTGGCTGGCTCAGTTGGTGGAGCATGTGACTCTTGATCTTAGGGTCTTGAGTTTGAGCCCCCCCCTGGGCCCAGGGGCTACTTAAAAAAAAAAAAAAAAATTTGTTAAAAAAATTAAATATGAGTCACATGCTCTACTGACTGAGTCAGCCAGGCACCCCTGGGGTATTATTTTTATGTAAAGTTTGGGAAGGGACTTTTTTTTTTTTTTTTGTAAAACAAGCATAGATCTTTTGTAGAGTAGGTTTCAACGTGAATTTTTGAGCTGAACTAGGAGATGTCAAAGAGCAGAGCCTAGCATAGAATACATGAATACGTGCTCAATTTAAAAAATATTGAATTGTTCAGAGAAATTTTGGCTGTTTAGTAATAGTAAAATGAACTCAAGCTGATTTAACAACAACGTAAAATACACGCTCGATAAGTGCTTGTTGAATGACTGTCATGCTGTCCCCTCCATCCATACTGACTCGCAGGTACTGCCTCCTAGTTACCCTGTCTGTCCATTGCCGTCTAACCTGTAGCTCTATGCAGTCTGTCCTGTGCTCCTTCCAGGAAGATGCTCTTGACTGCTTGTCCTCCTGCTCCCCAGGAAGCCACTGCTGCTGCGATTGCCTCAGTTATGCCAGAGGAACCTGATGTCCCTGCTGATGGCTGTTTGGCCGTCGCTGCCTGAAAGCGGACTGCTCTCTGTGCTGCAGATTGCACAGCAAGACCAAAGCCCTGACCCTGACACCTGGCTCCGGGCCCTGGGGGAATTGCTGCGAAGGGATTTAGACGTTGGGGTATCGACTGCGGGAGCATCCCCATTGTCTAAAAGCTGCCAGAGACAGCTCCGAGGCCTGTGTAGGCGGCTGGGCCAGGGAGGCAGGAGGCTGAAGTTGCTTCAGACTCCGGATCCTGGAGAGGAAGAAGAGGAGGACAAGGAGGATGAGGACCCCCATTGGCCTGGGAAACGCAGAAAGGGGCCAGAGGAAGAGCCTGCCAGGCCTGAGGGGGAGAGGGCCCCCAAAAGGTTACGATATTTAGAAAGGGAGGAAGAAGGTCACAAGGAGGAGAGACACGAACCTGAATCTTTGGAATCCCTGGCAGATGGAGGAGGTACATTGCCCATTAAGAACCAGCCTGTCCAGGCTGAGCCCAGTGTGGCTGGTCAGAGTCTGGAAGATGCCAAGGGCCTAGCTGAGAGTTTGGAGCTGCCCAAAGCTATCCAGGTACTAGGGTGGGGAGGCTGGATTTAGAGGGCTCCTCCAGGAGTGGGGGGTTTATCCAGGGTCAAAGCTGGTTGGGAGACCATTTCCCAACTGGGATAACTGTGGTCCATGGAGCAAGGGGTAGGAGGGTGGGGTTAAGGGAATATAGTCTCTGCTCCACAGCTTCTGAGGATGAGGTAGGAAGGGAGTTATTGGAGGTGGGGAACCTTTGGCCTAATGATGTACAATGTGAGGTTAAAGGATGCCAAGCAAGAAGAGAAGCTCCAGAGCTATCCTATGGAGAGGGC